GTATTCGCGGGTTAACCCTGCCGTCGGGCTCGCTTAAAGTGCTCGTGAATGCGGACGATGTCGCGGTGATAGGCTCCTCAACGACGCAGGTGCAGGCGGTGATACAACACGTCACGGTCGTCTGTGGTGCCTCGGGTGCGTCGATGAGCTCTGACAAGTCTGTAAGAGTTTGGCTCGGATACTGGGACTTGCAACCAGGAACCTCTCTTGGAATCAACTGGATGACGAGTATGACAAACTACTTTGATATAAATTTTAACACAATACATGTACAATAAAGTGCTGGGAGCGGTGGTTTGGACATTAATCGCCTCCGAAGCAAAGTCATGGACTGGCACGCCACGTAACTTTCTTTGTTCAATCGCGCATTTATCTGTAACTCGGTGTTTTTTCCAACCGTTTGGTACGCGGCACAAGTGTTGCCGTGCTCCCAGAGTGACAATGCAAAAGTGCATCGCTTCTTTGTTACCTTTGTTCAGCGATTAATCTTTTTTACCGAAACCAATTTCCTGATACTCTTTTCGTTCAGAGTACTGGAAGTTTTCCCATACCATGACTGGAGGGAAATACGGGAGAATCCCGGTCACGTTGCTTAAAGTTTTACAGAGAAATAGCGGCGGCAAAGATGTTTTTCGAAGCTCACTTTTCGAAGGAATATCTCCAAAAGGTTAAAAGAAAAACTCTATACTGGAACACAGTACCGTAATTTTTCGGGGAGTACAGTTGTTAACTGCACTCGCCTGCCCGATTCCATCTGGATGAGCTTCGTACCGGCACGCGTTCGTGTAATCACTGCTGGGTAGTGCACGTTGAGGACCCCACGTTAAAGGGACACTGACACCCCCCAAAATTTTTTTTTAATTTTTTGCCAGGCGCTTCATTATGGTGTCGGAGGACTACCCAATTAATATTTTGCAACAGAGTAGCGTATTTTTTTAATAAAGCCAAAAGACGCAACTGCTCGAAACCGAAACCGAAACCCGACGGAGGTCGGAGAAGTGGAGAGAAGAGAGTGGAGTGGCGGAAGTCACGTGGCTACACGCAACCGTGTGTTTTTTGTTTTTTTTTTTTTTTCTCCTCCTTTCCGTAGCAGACGACATGCGGCGTACCGGAACTATTCACCGAGCGATTCTTTTGCAGTTATGTATGTTCCGCTCGTTGTTCTGTACTCCTAGATGAGTTGTTTTGTACATTGAGGAGTTGGAGATGAGTAGTGAGTGCCCGTGGGGAATTTTGATCGGCTCCGAGAAGAATACACCCAAGATGTTGCATGAAGAGCTGGCTCACATGCCCTGCGTCCGAAACAGAAGTGGCATTGTGCGACAGAGTTTCCGAAAGATCAAAGGGATCGGGACCAATGGCTGGCTGCAATTCCTGTAGACCATTTACGGGCACCTCGGAAAGCGGACGTTACCTGATTTATATGCTCCTTGCATTTTGTGGAAAGTGATTACATTGAGTTCGCAGGGGTCAAAATGTAAATCCCGTACCATTTAATTCAGCGACGTGTCGTCCACAACATTTGTTTCTTATTTTTTGTTTCTTCAGTGATAATTGTTTAAAAAGAAAAAGAAATGTAGACATCAAAAATATTAAAAAAAAAAAAAAAGTTTCACGGGGGATCGAACCCGGTCCTACCGCGTGAGAAGCGGACGTCTTTCCCACTGAGCTACTGGGGCACCCCGAATTTGGGGAATCTCTTTCCTTAGTAATAATTCAGCCGATAAACTAAGTTGGAAAGTTTGCTGCCGATTTTTCTCTAGTAAAAGCACTCCCGGGTCGAAGTCGGGATGCACCGCGCATAGGCGACATTCTCACGTAGTAAAGAAATCGTACGCGTGCATACTCAACTCGAAGTAGACACGTCGTGCTTGACGTTTGCGCGAGCGATGTCTTCAGCCACGAGAAGGGAGCGACGGCTCGGCGAGCTCTTCGTGCAAATCGGCTTGGTGATCGGGCGTGTCGTACGGGATGAATACCAGTTCTTTTGATCAGTCCCAAATTTCTCTTTTAAAGGCAGACAAAATTCGCCGGTACCGCGAACGACAGTTCTGAAATAGAGGTCCCACGCCCGTCGTCCGCTGCCATCGCCGTCCCTGCGAGTCCCACGATACGCGAAACGACGCACGCACAGATTGCTTCCGGTTGTCTGTGGAACTTTTTTTTTCAATCAACGTATTTGCAGCTTTTTAGAAGCCACAAAAAATGGGTTTCATATTTTTTTCTATTTTTAATATTGAGTGTGTGCCTTCAGTGATCCACGACTTTGATTAAATTTGGTGGTCGCATCGATACCTTAGAAAACGGCCCGTGACCGCGGAAAAGAGAGTGAGCGAGACTCGAACCGGCCAGTTCTTGATCGGCGGTTTTCGGGCGGAAAGAAACCGAATTTCGAGCCGTAAATTCTGTTCTGGGTAGTTGAGCTCTCATATGTCACGTACAACTAAAAACCTCGGCGAGCATAAATACCCTGTCAGTGTCCCTTTAACGCTTGTGCTGCACTGGCTAAATTCCTCATCTACAGCTAAGAGACAAGTCACCCGTTGGGGCGTACAGCACCAAGCTTGTCTAAACATACAAGCATCACCACTTTTTTCTCTTTTACTAAAAAAAAAAAGCGATGATTTTGGGTGAGGAGCGTGAGGGAGGTTGACTGTTGACTCCGCCAATTCACCCCTTTGCCTACGCCACTGCGAGTTGGGTGCGGAGACGGAGCGAGACATAAAGAATCTAGAAACGCACACTTTTGTGGGTCTTTTCTTTGAGTAGTTGAGTACACAAGCACCTTTCTTACCCATTCTACACGTCTTCGCGAACAAAAACTTACTTGCACGTCGAGCCACACACAGCAAGAAGCTAAAAAAAAAAAAAAAACCGCTCTTCCGCAGGTAACATTTGTATACTGCAATGACAGGGCAACAGGTACGATAAAACGGGACTGTCGTTGGACTGTCCCAGCCAAAACGGGACCTTTTCGAATGTGAGCATATGTAAATCGTAGCCATCTGTTATTCTTCCATCCACCCTGCCGCCCCCGTTCCGTTCTTTCCTTCCAAATGGACCTTTTCCACATACCGACGGCACCAGGCGGTGGCTGCACGAACTAAAAGTCGAGGAAGTGACCTACCTGCACTACCAATCGATAATGGGAGCTACGCTACCAGTTTCTTCGCTCTCTGAGAAGCGGCGCCTGCCCAACGCGATCCGTGGCGTCCACCCAAACGTCGTGTTTTCCTTTCCGTCGGCGTTCTTTTTTTGTGTAACTCAATTATATATATGCTGCAGTTACGTGTTCTACTCGCTGATATGCAGCCTCCTTCCGAATTTCCTCGATTTTTCGTTCCGACTTCCGCCGCTTGGCATCGGGCGCTCGCGCGTGCGCAGAACGCTTCTCGGGAAAGGTCCATTGCTCCCCACAACCCGAGTTCTCTAGAGCCAACGAGCCCTCGCCGTTCAAACCGACCGTCCATCTTTCTCGCCCTCAGTTCTACCCATCACCCAAATGTAAACACCAGCCAATTAAGTCGACTCTTCTCGCAAGCCCCGCAGCCGACTTCTTCGGCACAGCTGTAACCTTACCCCTTACCTCATAAACCAGCCTCGCTATCGCCCCTGCCCGCTGCCATCGCCTCAAGATACTCCAAGCCCGAGTTCTCCTCCAGTTGCTTCCGCCCGTCCCACTGACTCAGGCATACCTTCCTTTTCCGTAATAAACAGTTATCTTAATCTTTAAACTTGTTCTTTCTTCCTGGGGCCTACCATCGGCCCTCACACGAAATTCACGTGCCGATTAATAGAAGGTCGAAACCACCCTGCACGGCCCCTGTTGGCAACTGTGGAATCCCTGCACAATGGCGGACTAAACCCAGAACGCCAGGGCACACCTTATGCATTTCGTTGTATTAGAAGGCAAACACACTCCCACAGAAGGTGACGGTCGCAGGGACGTTGCACTTTCGACGCTGTTTGATTGGCTCGTCTGCTCCAAGCGTTGGCCGCGCTCCGACATCCGCTATTTTATGGGATGACTCGCACGTTCCATGACCTCAGTTCCGCCATTGTGCAGGGATTCATCTTATTGAATAAAACACCGAGACTGGGACGAGAAGCAGTGGCGTATTCAGGAAGGGGGGTGGAGGTTTATGGGGCTGCAGCCCCCGCCCCTCGAAATGCAACCGAACCTAGATTTGACCCCTCTCCCCCTTTCCGCTCCCCAAACCATGGAACAACCCCAGCCCAGCCACCCCGCCCCTTTCCTCCCCCCTTAAAATATTCCTCGCAGTGGCGTACCAACTTCTTTCTCAGTGGGGGGGGCAAACCAGACCCCCCCCCTCTCCCATTGCCTCTCTTCCCCACCCAGGGCCGGGGCCTTTGGTATCCCTTGGGCGCCGCCGGCCAGTGTTTGCCCTGCCCAGTGGCGGCTGTTTCAGGGGGTGGCAAAACACATGCCTTGCCCCCCCCCCCCCCCCCCCCCCCCCCACTCTAATAAGAACTGGGGGGCAAGCGCCCCCCCCCCCCCCCCCTTCCCCCCGGGTCGGTACGCCCATGATTCCTGGCTACGCCACTGACGAGAAGGGACGGACGAACACAAGACTTCGTGTTTGTCCGAAATCCAGCCGACACAAGATATGGCCCCTCTCCCCTTTTTCGCTCCCCAAACCATAAAACATCTTCAAAAAAAAAAAAAAAAAAAAAAAAAAATGGCGTTCGCTATTTACGAGAAGGGACGGACAACAAGACTTTGTGTGTTGTCCGTCTATTCTTGTCTCAGTCTCGGGGTTTTAGTCAATAATGTTCAAACATCACCACCTCGTTTGCGCCCTCCGGGTGCCCAAGGCTGCCCAAGGTGCCTCCTTGCTTTCCCGCCTTTTCCGCAGCCAAAAATCTTCAAATCGTTTCAAGCCCAACAAAGTCTGTAGGTCAGTGGCGCCACCAGATGTCAACAAGTAGAAGCTCAAAAATTTATGCTTTCAGCGGACAAAGTTAGCGACTTTTGCAGCCGTGTACCTTAGGTCTGGCAACCAATAGCCCCGACAACGTGCAATTTTTCGGCCTGTGTGCGTATTTCGCCGGTGAGATTCTCTGATATTCCCTTAAATTTAATTTAATATTTAGCCAGAAACACTCCTAAAATGCCACCTAAGAAGTCTAAAACAAAACCGGCAAAAAAGGACAAGCCAGAAAAGTCTGGAAAATCTCAGAATACCGAAGAGGCCGTCGGTAAGCACTTGGAAGACCTCGACTTGAATGACGGCGATGACTCCGACTCCGACTTCGAAGCTCCCAAAACCTCCAAAAACAAGTTTACCGCTCTAGAAAGTGACGGCGAGGACGAAAACAGCGACGACTCCGAGAATGAAACCAAGGGTAAAGGCGATAGAGACAGCAAAGGTGAGAAATGTTCAAACATATGACCCTCTTTTTTTGGATGTCCGTATTGGCAGCTCGACTGACATTCTGGGCCGATGTCTTTTCTTCTCTTTCTAGAGTCGGAATCCTTCGCGTCTAAAAAGATGTCACACAAGGAAAAGAAGTTAATGAAGAAGCAGGTATTGTGCTGGATCCTTCTTAACAGTACTTCCTTGACAGGGGGCTTCGTGTTTTCATGCAAGTGCGTACGCTATTTTTTTTAGTCGGAATACCAGAAGCAGATCGAGAGCCTCAACAAAGGAAAAACTGCCTCAGATGGGGAGCAGTTCACGGTGTCTCAGGCTGACAAGTCCGCCGCTCAGCAGCAACAACTTGAAAATGCTATTGACATCAAGGTAGGGAATTCGACTAGTTCGTAGAATGTTTCACCTGCGAGCTGACGTTTTCTTGACACTTGTTTTACCCGAAAGCTGCTTGAATGAATTTCTATGGACATTTGAAATTGCAGGGTTATCCTTAAACCAAATAACATTTGACAACAGATGGTGCAAGTGTGTGGGTAGCTCACTTCCATTATGCTCATGGTTTATCTGCCTTATTCACTCAACAGAAACACAATGGGTAAAATAGAGAAGAAACAAAAATGCACAAACATATTAGTTAGGCTTCATGAAAACATACGGTAATTAGGATATTTCTCGCAACTATATACTCTGTTTCATACTTAGTGTGCAACGCTCTCAAAGCTACTGGCGCGAGCATGGGGCTTGACCTCGTTGATCATTTGCACGTGTTCTCGCGCAAACAAAACCATAGATGAAGCCATGCGCTCGCGCCAGTAGCTTTGACAGTGTTGCACGCTAAGTATGAAACGGAGTATAGCTGGTATTCACTGGACGCCATATTTGAGGTGACTGCTCATAGTGCATGCTCGAGATGAGTTCTTATTTATGATCTCCCAAAGGAGACAATCTTGATGGTGTGCAATGTGCGTGTTGGAAGCGTTGTGGAAGCCTGCCGTCATCACGTGCTCAGCACCAGCGAGCTCAGCTATGGCCGCCAGTGAATACCACCTATAGACCAACACGCGGCTCTGACGTCACGACTCTGCGGTGGCTTTGTTGTCGCCATGGCGCATGTGCAGAAGCTTCACCTCACGCGAATCTGGTTTCTGCGTTCGTGCAGTGCCCACACTTGGTGTGGGTGTGGGCAAACGCAAACTTGTTTGTAAACAGTGTGTCGGTCTATAGCTGCGGCATTACTCTTGCTAGAATGCAAATATTTGACGCTACTGAGGTGTGTGGTTAAAGGGAAACTGAAGCGGTTCCGTATCTGAGGAAAAGTTCTTAAATCATCTTCATTTGGCCTCCGGGATCACAAGCATCGAGATTATTTTTAAATTTTTTGCACAGGGGCTGCCGAAGCCCCTCCTTCCCTGAGTGTGACATCATATCTCAAGTTTTTGGAATCTTCGCTCTCATGTATCTTCAGTGCCTATCAAAGCTTTGCTCGCGCACTCTTGCTACTTTCGAAAAGGTCAGAAAAAGACGTCACAAATGGAGTAGGGGAATATACCTGGCAAGCCTGCAATTGCAGGCTTTGCCCACATGAGCGACACGCGCTTGGCGGCCGAAAGGTCTGGGTATAACGTAACGACTGGTCGAAGGTTTTTAGTGTTTTCTTGCGTTTAGTTGCATCTTCGGGGAAAACAAATGTGATATTCAGATTCACGGGATAAAAATACTGTAGAATTCACCTCAAACTCGTTTATTTGAAGAACCTTTTCAGGTACCCTTTAATAATATCTGTCATCCATGCTAGATACAGTGATGCCAATCTTGTATTGATGTAAGACTTTGGTTTGAGCTTGTTGGTTCATAATAATTTAAAAGGTTAAAAGTGCAAAACAGCAAGAATGGAGAAGAAAACACACGACACAGACAGGCACTAACTTGCAACTGATTTTATCCCAATCAGTCAAACCAGTGTACGTGTGCAGACAAAGTTGCCACTCATGCCTTGAAATGTCTGATTGACTTGCATGTTGTCAGAATTTTTAGGTATGTAGACGATTGTCTGGTCTTTGTGGATGTTCCCCCGGAGAATAGCTTTGGTGACTTAGTTACAAAGATTTTCAATTTGTTTGCTGCCTTGTCTGATGGACTAAAGTTCATCTGGGAGCCTCCCAAGGACACGTGCATCCAGTTTCTGGATCTGAGGCTTGCATTTTGTGAAAGTCGCATGTGTTGGTGGCCCAAACTGCGTACAAGGAAAAGCTTTGTCATTTGACAGTGCTTATTTAAAGTCTATGAAAAGAGGCATAACTTCTTTCTGCCTTCAGGCCGCCTTGTCAAAAAGTTGGCATCACGAAGTAGCAACCAGTTTTACTCATCAGATAGAGTGCAACAACGCAGGTTACCTTGCCTGCTTGATTTCCAGTGTGTGTGAAAACATCCTTCAAAGAATCAAGCGTAGCACTAGCACAGATGGGGTTCAACAAAAGAAAGTTAAGAAATCAAAAATTCAATTGATTCTTTATTTGCCTAGGGTGTCACACAATTTGGAGAAGATAGCTGTTAAATATGAAGTTAATGTTGTTTTTCTGTGCCGTGCAAGCTGGCAAACGTTTGTTGTATGAAGACAAGGGAGAAGGATGTTGAGTGCTTGAAGAAGCACGTCACAATTTACAGCCTGTTCATCTTATGCTGTTTGCAAGATACTACTGACATGCGGGTGCATTTATGTAGTACAGACGGTGCCTTATTTTAATTAAAGGGCGCATAAGCATAGACTTGCAATTCATAATAAGTCGAGGGGCATGTTGTGGTTGCGATGTTGCAATGTGAACCCCCTTTCAGAACTAACAAAGTTTAATAAAAGAGCCCGTAACAAGACAGAAAGGGAGATAGTTGAGGCTTTTCTTTTTTATTTCAGAGCATCGGGTAACAACTGCGTCAGCATGCCGTCCATTGTTCTTAGTGACAGAGGGGTTTCTTTTCTAGACGGTTTCGTCTCGATTGTATGACTCTTAGGATTTGGATCTTAGGACACAAGTGTAGAATTGTGTAATTTGTTGTTTATATTCTGAAGTGGGTGCATGAGCTGCAACTTTGTGCGTGCATTTGCGCTGGTTTGACTGACTGAGATGAAATATCAGTTGCAAGTTAGCGCCTGTCTATGTCGTGTGTTTTTTTCTTCTTCGCCCTTGTGGTTTTGTGCTTTTAACCTTTTAAATCATTGTATTGATGATCTGCAGTCAGGTATGTAGGATCGATTTGTTAACAACTCGTGTTGCAGGTAAAAGGTGTAATTTTAAGTTTTGTGGAGCATATTGACTTGCCAATCAATCTGTAAATGGTTTGCCGAAATAACTTCATCATTGAACGCTTTTCAAGAAAGTGATGTCAACTAAATGTAACCAACAACAAAGTGTTAGTACACTTCAAGAAGTTGAATCTCAAAGATGGGCTAAACCCCTTTGAACAGTTGTTAGTAACAATTTTTGTGTCATTCATTTGTTAAGCTTCAATAGACCTTGCTGACAGTTTTTGCTCTTCCAGGTTGAAAATTTTTCTATATCGGCTCGAGGCAAGGACTTGTTTGTGAATGCCAGCCTTACAATCACTGCTGGGAGACGATATGGCTTGGTTGGCCCTAATGGGTAAGTCTATCTTTTATACTGGCATGGTTAGCGTGAAGCTTGCACATTGGTGCCTTCATTACTCAAATTCTAATTGGTTTCCAGGCATGGAAAGACGACCCTGCTGAAACACATTGCCAACCGCTCATTAAACATTCCTCCAAACATTGACGTCCTCCTCTGTGAACAGGGTATTTATAGTTGTAACCTTGGATAGATCAGTTTGTTGATTTCAGCTCTCGCTTGCCTACTTTGCGTGCTGTTTAAGACCTCTTATTTGTCTTATGACTTGACGACAGAGGTGGTTGCTGATGAGACTCCAGCTGTGGACGTGGTCCTCAAGGCAGACTTCAAGCGTACGGCACTCTTGAGCGAGCTGAAGAAACTTGAAGAAGAGTCGTCCACCGGCAACCTCAAGAACCAGGAGCGGATAACAGAAGTAAGGTGGTGACCATAATGGAGGACTGTGGCTCAAGATGACACTTAGGAGTGTTGTGCCATCAGGACATGGTTCATTGTGGGCGGTTTCTGTACATCAAGCAACTACTATTTCATTACATTCCAAGAAGACCATTTACCAGGCAACACCGTCCCTCGCTTGATTCTCACCTTGAGCTTCACCTTCAATTTCTCAAGTTTATTTGCTCACCCTTTGACCCACAGGTGCATCTAATGTTGCAGAGGGAGCTGGGCTGCATCTAATCCCATTGAACAAAGCCCTTGGGTGGGCTCATGTTGCAGAGATGAATGATGTAGTTCTTTATGTTGAGTAGCTCGTTCTTGTTTGTTGTGCAATCTCACCGTCTTTCCTATGTGTTGGGCATGCCTTCTGGCTGGCACTCATTCTTTTTTGTAAAGCATGAAATGCTTTTTAACCCTACCCCACAATCCCAAAATTTTGTCTCTCCGTCCATCCATGCATTTTCCGCTAAATTTAGTGAGGAAATTGGCATTGCATGGCGTATACACCTTGCAAAAATTGTTGGCACATGACCTATACATCAACTCAGTTTCCCCGCTAAATTTAGCGGGAAATTGATGTCACACGACCTATACACCAATTCAGTTACCCGCTAAATTTAGCAGAAAATTTACTTCTTGTGACCCAGACACCAATCGAGTTTGCCCGCTAAATTTAGTGGGGGAGTTTATTTGCTAAATATAGCGGGAAAATAGACGTCACATGACACCGATTTCCTGTAACGCATTTCATGCATTGTAGAACTTTAAAAGTGAAGGTAGCTACCACTTTTTCTTTTTTTGCCTATTGTTGATAGATTGTGGATTCAACTTTTTAGTCAGTGAATTTGCCTTGTTTGCAAGGTTTGTGAGCACTGTACTTGCATACCTCATTGTTTGTTTTGTTAAAATGATGGTCTTATTGAATTTGATGTGAATAACTTATAAGTAGGCCACAAACTGGGTGATATTACTAGAGAAGAGTAAAAATAGTCTGCCAGGATAAAAAAAATTTTCAATTGGTTAATATTGAGAAATGCTGCCTATTTGGCTAAAAAAATTTGTGGAAATGTGAAGTCAAGGAATGAAAGTTTTTCTTATTGCCAGAAGTGACAGGACCTAAAGCGATCATTAATATTTAAATTAAATTAATTATACAAAAATGTTAGGCATGGGCAAATGAAATGAATTTTAGGTTTGAATCAAATCTAAACTGAATAATAGTTTTGCTCGAATAATTTTGAATCAGTTTGGTTAACAGTGTTTTATAAACAAAGAATAGAACAGGGTAATTAATATAAAAGCTAGGGATGTAGGCTTCAAGTGCTTATTAGGCATTCAAAGCAAATAAAAAGAAGTTGCATTAATATTATTCAGTTTAATAACATATTAATATCTTAACACTACCTTTGTCTACCTCAGGCAGTTACTTGCTGCACTTCCTCTTATAAACAAAAGCTATATTTTCATTCAATCTTTTTCTGATGTCCTTTGGTTGTTAATAACTTTCACTATTAATTGCTGATTGTGCTGTTTGTGTTTTGGGAAGCTTTCAAAACATGGCAACCTTTCAAGACCAGGTGAACATTCAAAAGGATCCGCAGATAGCGCTGTACACGCAGACAAATAGTAAAAAAAGTTTTGTGGCCTACTTAGACTTGAGTAATGGGTATTTTGTTTTCTTTTTGTTTTTCCCTCTGTCTAGGTCCTTTTATCTATGTGAGCACACTAATATAATAATAATAATCTTTATTTGCAGAGGAATTTTACCCCTAGTGGCTTGTTCGTCTAGAACAGAAAGGTGAAAGCCAGTACGCTCGCACGTCTGCTAGCCAGCCACCCGGGGAAGGAGGAAAAAAAAAACGTGACAAAAACATCTCAAGAAGAACATCGTTGAAGAGCATATGAAACACTTTGATATACGCTCAAATAATTATTGCGAGAATGCGCTGCGAAGGGCTGCTACTGGGTCTGTCCGGTCAGTAGGGAGGGGGAATGAACAGACAAGGGGGCTGCTAAGAAGTACCTAAGAATGGCACGGAGTTAGTGTTGTCTGTTACATCGGAACAATGACATGGTACTTAACCCTGTGAAATTGTTTCGCCCTACAGGTTTATGAAGAGTTGCAGGTGATCGGTGCTGACTCGGCCGAGTCCCGTGCACGCCGCATCCTCGCCGGTCTGGGATTCACCCGAGAAATGCAGGACCGTCCCACCAACCACTTCTCTGGAGGCTGGAGGATGAGGGTGTCCCTCGCAAGGTGCAGTAATAACGAGTTGATTGCCATCATAGTTTGGGGGTGCAGATTGACGCATCCTCCCCTTTCTTGGCCTCTGTGCCTCCCAGACGAGTTGTCGTTCATGCCTCCGCTTCTTTGTTTCAGTATTGCACACGTTATACAGTAAAAAAAGCACAGATTCTATAATTACTCCCAACCGTTGAAAAATATTGGACTTCATTACTTGACCCTGAAAAGTAGTAGTCAAATGATTAAATTGCAAGTAACATCACTTTGATCAGTTTTCCAGATTATGTGGTTGTTGCAAGCCATCGTACCTGCTTTGTGTTCATACTACAATGACTGCAACAGTTTTAGTTGCTACATGTAGGTAGTCTACATTAGCCCCTTAAGGCCAAATTTTTTTTTTCCAAAAGTAACCTAAAAGTGCCATATCTTTTTTTATTTTGAATTGTTATTCCTCTAGTATTACACATAAAATTTGAAAAGTTTATTGCGCAAAAATCAGTGTAGGCAAAAAAAAATATTTGCCAACTAAAGCGAGTGCTGCCCATCTATGATCAGCGCCGCAAAACTACTTGGACGAGCCTTGCTCGTCCGTGGAATTGAGGGTCACCGAAAAAACCACTGGACGAGCTGAGCTCGTCCACGGCATTTTTAGCCAGAAAGTGACGGACGAGCTCAGCTCGTCCAAGGCACTTAAGGGGTTAGGCTTCCTTATTGCTGCTACTAGTATCTTTCTTTTGTGAACAGATGGTGAGCATTGTTTTAGCGCTATAGTGTTTAAAGGAACAGGTGGTTTTCATAAGTATAAATTTTTATAATTAAAACAGTGATTTAGTAGCTAGTCTGATTATGCACAATTTGAAAAATTAATTGAATGCAAGTTGTCTGTTTAGATGCATATCATGCATGTCCGCTTTAGTCAAGTATAAAACAAAGGTGCTGGCTTGCATCTTCATTTCTTTTTTATGGTTTGCATTGCTGTACCAATTTACTGCTTCGTGATCTGTAGTTCCAAGCTTGATGGTGTAAGTTTGCTTCATTGAGGGAAAATGCAATATAATTTGCATATTGTATTTTATCTGTTCCTAAAAGCATATAAAAGCTAAATGCCTCTTCTGTTTTTTTTTTTTAAGGGCACTCTTCGTGGAACCGACTTTACTCTTACTCGATGAACCGACCAACCACTTGGATCTGAATGCCGTCATTTGGCTTGACAAGTGAGTGAGCCTTGCTAATAATACAGCACTGTCGTCTTGACGTCATCCTCTCCCAAACAATGAGGGTGGCAAAGGAGTTAAAAATGGATGGAAAGTGGGAGAGTTATGAGTGGATCCCTGCATGGGCTGGACCTAAGCCCGGGCCCGAGACCTGCTTTATTTTCCAATGCTGTGGTACCTCCAGTCAGGTTGGGCTCGGGCCAGGTCGGATCAGGTAGGCATCCCATTGGGCTGCGCCGAGGTCAAGTAACACTTACATTCCTGAGCCAGGTCGGGCCTCAAAAGGTAGGCCTGTGCAGAGCTCTAGGGCTGGGATAGTAAAGGAGGAAACAGGCAGAAGTATAAAATGCAAAGTGTGTGTCAGTTTCTGAAGGGACACCGATATTTCCAAAGAATTGTTAAGTTTTTATGCAAAACATAGGACTGCGCTGTCAAGACACTACCGAAACATTCTTTTTGCTGGGAAGTCGCATATTTATTGAGAAAAGCGAAAACTAGGAGACCAGTACAATGGACAACGATGTCGAACAAAACGGGAGTCACGAGTAGTTTCTGATCATATAGACTGTGTGTGGTCAGACATTTTTTAAACCCGTGTATTTTTGTTTTTTGAGTGGTTGAACAAATTACATTTTATTAATCTTAATACTTTTATTATGAGTATGTGCCTTGTGTGGGCTAAAAGTTAAAAAAATATGCACATGTCTATGGAAAAGAAAGTGGGAGCTGACCTTAACAGACGATTCTCCACTGACAATTTTCATGCAGACGAGCTTGATCTCGAGATGCAGATATTGTCTGATGTAATCAGAAATGTGCATCAATGTGTTGTCAACCTTGCACCTTGTTCTAGTTCTGCTTGAAGATGTCTTAATGTTGTACGTGATTATCCCAGCTATCTGTTGTCAACCTTGCACCTTGTTTTAGTGCCGTTTGAAGATGTCTTAATGTTGTGTGGGATTATCCCAGCTATCTATTGTCAACCTTGCACCTTGTTCTAGTGCCGTTTGAAGATGTCTTAATGTTGTGTGGGATTATCCCAGCTATCTTCAAGTCTGGAAGAAGACCTTGCTGGTTGTGTCCCACGACCAGAGTTTCTTGGACAACATCTGCACTGATGTTATTCATCTGGACAATCAGAAACTGTTCTACTACCGGGGCAACTTCAGTAAGTTGGGGTGTCCCTCATCCTCTCCCTAGACAATTCAGAACAAAAATCGAGGGACACTGACTGACGTTACAAGTTTTCAATTGAAAGCCGGTTCGTGTCTTAGACATAGCAACATTTATACCCTGTTTTTATTTTATTTATCTGGTTTAATTTAGTACAGTGAAACCTCGTTGATACATTCCCGGTTTTTGCATTTTCCCGGCTTTTACGTTCGGAAGCACCGGTCCCCCGGAGCTCCCATAGGAAAACACGTTAATTTCCTGCTCAGTGCGTCCTTATGTCCAAAGAGCCGACGACACTGGCCAATTCACACGACAATCCGATTCGCGGACGGGTTGGTCTCGTGACGGCACGTTAGCGGATCGTTTTCCTCTCATGCGCATTCAGACGGAGGGAGAGACAAAATACCGAGGTTCGACCGAACCACTTAACGACTGCATAGTGGCACCACTGTCGAAGTGTTACGTTTGTCACTAAGGTTGTGGCACTATCGCATTAATACGAAAAATAGTTGTTGTGTGCTGTTGTTACATGCTGTGCATGACAGAACACCGCGAGATGCTTAGCACAAAGTGCCACTACCTTTACTAACCTTAACAGAAGTGTGGTCCGGCTCGAGGAACGTCGGAGTAGGAGTGACAAAGTCATGGGCTTGCGAAGGGGTGTTTGCCCATGTCGTTGTTCCCACACACTCGTGCGCAACACTTCAAAGCGCCACACGTGCAAAAGGGACAACCTTGTTGGGTCTTGCTCTTGCCAAATGAGGAATGGTTGGATGTGCAGGACAGAGTGCAGCGTGCTAGACGAGTTTTGACAAAAGCCTCTTGACACGGACTTGGAGAAGTACCGGAACCTGCAGTGTGTCAGCCGGGGACAGTTCCTGCAGATTTCTTCTCGCGTGGAACGGAGAATCGCACGACCAAACAAATCGACGAATGGACGGAACAGACAAAAGGAAACAAAGTGCCATCTTTATTTTGCTTGTCAGAAAAAAAAAAAGAAAAAAAATGTGTCATTGCCGAATAAGACGCTTTTTGTATCAGCGCATGTCAAAAATCCGTGGACCGAAAAAGCCAAGCGCCTTTTTACTTGCAAATTTTTTTATATCAAACACGTTTAGTCGGGCAACATTTTTCTTTTTTTTAACGAGCAACACTAAATTGGTGCATACTTGTGCTTTTTTCTGTTCTTGTTCATTTGCTGGTCCGTGTTGTTGCACGGTTCTTGGTTCCACACGCACTGCTGCTGCAGGTTCTGGTAGTGCTCCGGGTTCATGTAGAGAAGCTTCTGTCAAAATTTGTCGTGCACACCGCAATCTCCTGCATGTGTTCTACAGCCTGTCATCTGGCAAGACCTCTTTCGTGGCTTTGGTATACTGAAATGTTGCGCACAATTGTGCATGGACAAACCAACGAAGACATTGGCAAGTGCCCATCTGTAAGACCAAGACTCCGTCGCTTGCCCGCAAGTTCATATTGATGAATGTTTACACAGTTCTTTTGAATGTATTTGAGATCACGCCTACAAACTCTTACAGTATGTTTGTTTAAAGGGTAACTGCAAAGAAAAAAGTGTTTTGTTAAACAGCCTATATGGGACAAGCATGTCACAAAACAAATCTTCCGCGAAACAACAAATTTTTTCTAGCAATATTTACGCCACCGGACGTAATTTAGTCGGAGCCACAACTTCTCCATATCTGAAACTCGCGCTCTTTCGACTCGCGCGAAGTGGCTGTTATACGTCACTCCGTGACATATAGCAGCCATTTTGTGACGTGTAATACCAACTTTGTGGCGCGCGATTTCAAACGGACGAAATAGCCGCAAACTAAAATCAATCTCGCGCAATAAATATTGCTGTAAACAATTTTGTTTTTGGTGGAAAAATTGTTTTGTGACATGTTTGTCCTAATTAGGCTGTTTTAAAATGCACTTTTTTTTCTTTGCAGTTACCCTTTAAGTTTACACCTACAAATGTTATGTTTCTGTGAAATAAATTGCTTTGCAACAGTTATCTGTCTCATATCTAACACCCCACCCCCCCCCCCCCCCGAATGGCGTTCTTGTCCCTTTCGTTTTCCCGAATCATACATTTTATTTCCCCGATCCCCTGAAAAACATATCAATGAGGCTCTACTGTACCTTTATTTGCGAGGAGACACAACTCATGCAATTGCCATTTTTTTCTCATGTTTAGGCCAGTTCAAGAAGATGTATGTCCAGCGTCGAAGAGAATTGGTCAAGGAGTTTGAGAAGCAGGAGAAGAAAATAAAGCAGATGAAAATGTCTGGAGTGTCAAGCAAAGTTGCCGTGAGTCACTGTTCTCCGATGTTTTCCCACATCAGATTCATTTGTTTAATGGACCATGATATGAGTTTGCAGCTTTCACTGATTAGTAACCCAGTAAATTCTGCACTCATAAAACCCAAAACAGGAATTTGTTTTCGTTCGGGTAAATTATCTTTATATAAAGTAATAATGAAAACCTAATTAGGCTCCCCTTCTCGTTTCACCAACGAAACAAGTAACCACATGTGTTGTGACAGCTAGGACCCCAGTAGCGCATCATTGCCCTCTCTAAAAACTGTTTGGTGGTTTTTTGCCGGCTCATGCTGTCAATGTTCATCACAGTCGCACACCTGGGTTGCAAATGCTTATAGCATGCACTGTGCACGGACAATATTATAGTTTTTGTTTGCCAGTGTGGCACTAAAATGCCGCAAATGCAAACCCTAATATTTGACGGAGGACTGATTGTTACCGAGCGCAGTCTGAGTGATGCAGTGCTCATATTCACTTTGCAAGTTAGGTTCAAATGACAGGCTTCAGCCCAGCGCAGGCACCGTAGTGAGAATGCAGAAAACTTCGAAAAGGACCAAAAAGCAAAACAAAATAACATCCATCCTTATTTTTTTTAAATTCACAGCAATAATAATGACGTTTCCAGCTCCCTACCCTTATGTGGTAGTTGGAAAAGTTTGTTTACAATATCGTTTCATGGTCCCTTTAAAAATAAGTTACTTAACAGAAGATATACTCTTACACTGGTGTAAAGATCCAAAGCCACTGTTTCTGTTTCCCATACCAAATGGTAGAAAACTATTTCGTAGGGCAGGCAAGCTATGTACAGTAACTCGTGGACCAACAATCCTGACGGAGCGTTGTCTGACTGCTTTTCACTTCTAGCTGGAGCCAGCTATAGTACGCTGCAGGCACTACTTATTAGCTGGGTGTTAGGTTTATTGTGGAATCGTTTTATGGTTCTCCAGACAAAGACGACAGTCCAGGCTCTGACGAGGAAACAGCAGAAGAACAAGCAGAAGCTCCAAGGGACAGAGGAGGACAGCGGTCCACCAGATCTGATCCAGAAGCCTCGGGACTATATTGTCAAGTTCAAGTTCCCGAACCCACCACCGCTGAACCCCCCCATCCTTGGTCTTTACAGTGAGTCTTTGTGTTGTGGTGGTGTCATTGAGACAGTCCAGTAAAGCGTCCTCGGTAGAACTCCATAATGGCAACAATACTTTCAGGTGCAGACAAAGTTTTGTACAATTGGCATTTTAAGCTCAGCAGAGTTCCTTTGTCTTACTTTGCATCATGCGACCTCTAGCTATTGTCAGCATAAGTCCCGTGATGAGGGTGCTCTTTAACAAAGACACTTGTCTTGTACAATCTAGTGGGAACGGTAAAGCCCAGGCTTTACTTGCCCAGTTGCTCTTTTTTTTTTTCTAGTTTAGCTCTTTTTGTACTTGCGCTTCTAAGGTGGTTGCACCTCATTTTTTACAATCTAATCTTTTACGTGTACTTGTTGTGAAAATGTTTTTATTATTAGATAGTGATAGCAACATTCTGTTATAATTCAAAGGTCTATCCTGTCGCGTGCCTTTTTGCACTCGGAGTAAAGGCTGCGTAGCAGTTGCAGAACTCTGTCTTTTGTACGGGACAAAACGGGCGGTGCTAGCCATCCATTTGGCACCCTACTAACTCATCAGCTTGCTAGTGCTTGATGTGTGCTAGATCAATATATTCTACTCTAAGTGAAATCTACCGGCTTTCGTTGCAGACGTCGACTTCGGATACCCAGGACAGCCCCTGCTGTTCAAATCTCTTGATTTTGGTATTGACATGTCGTCCAGAGGTGAGTTGGGGTAGATAACGTGTAAAGGGGAGCAGTTCATTCTCTCCAGCTAAGCGTCAGATGCTCTATCAGCTTTCGAGTTTTCTAAAGTTAATTGGGACTTTACTCTAGAGGGAGGCAATCAATAGCATTTTACTGATGAACTTGTGATAACTTTTCTCAACTGCAAACCCACTCCTGCGGAGATATGGTCATGGTACCCTCAAGTTCCATGTGTAAAACAAAAGCTGAAAATGTGGCTATATATTGTCTTTTTGTTTTCTGCAGTTGCTGTTGTTGGACCGAACGGAGTCGGGAAAAGTACATTCCTCAAACTCCTGTGTGGCGACTTAACTCCCGTAAGTTTGCTATATGCATTGGTCTTCGGGCCTGCAGTAAAATGAGCCGGAAAAATCAGTGCTTGTGCATATAGCAAGTTAAAAGTTGAATTGAAAGTGTGTTTTAGCGGTTAGTTTTACCTTTGGAAATTTAAAGCCTGGCTTCGTTCCCGTGAAAGACGAGAACAACACACTTGAACAGTTTGGTGGCGCAGACGACAGAGTCTAGCCAACGACCAAGTTTTGGGGCCCCTGTCAAGAGACGGTTCCAACTCTCATTTATTGTCTGCCTTTATGTTAAAGCACGCCCTCGTCAAACATTGTGACGGCTGCGGTGTATAAAAATCAAGATGGTCCTTAGCTGTGTTCGATTTTCTTTCACCGGTGCAGAAAAGTGTGGGGCGGTGTACTTTTGATTGTATCTAAATACGCATTCCGGAAGTACACTGCCCTACACTTCGTAGAAAAGTATAGGTCAATGTACTTCCAGTTTTCTCGTTTGACTTAATTGGCAAGAATACTGAAACGGGCTTTCGTTTGCGCATATAACGCAGTGCCAATATACATATCCAGACTGAGCCGTGCAGTTTCACCACGCCAACCGTTCAAATATATAAATGCGAGTTGTACATGTACCAACTTCTTTTTGTAAAAACGGCAATGATACCTTTTCATGCTTCCTGCATATTCCATTGCACGTTTTTCTTTTTTTTTTTGTAAGAACCTTTTGGAAGCTTTTTGAGTTCTTATTAGCAGCTTCAACTGCCTTCATACTTTGTTAGGATTACGTCCTTTTTTATTGCGATATACCATATTTCTTGGTCTGTAAATCGTGCCTTTGTATAAGTTGCACCCCCCTACAAACGGCCATTTAAAATTTGTGTATAAGTTGCACCTTTGTATGAGTCACACTTAAAAATTTGTCATGTCGGCGCAATGAAACGGCTTCCATAAGCCCGCATGTGCACATTGGTATAGCGATACTGTATGCATAACCAGGAGCCAATTTCAATATCCTTGCATTGAATTGAATGAGCCATACAACCCTTGCGGTGAATTTGCGCAATGAGGTTCATACTTATAGAAGTCAAAAACATATAGATTGCACTGGCGGAAATTTTGTAAAACAAATGTGACTTATTCCAGCAGAAAATAGGGTAATCATACAGAGCTGATAAAATTGAATAAAATCACCAACCAAATTCTATATGGAGGTCCCAACGTTCTAAAACCAGCTCGGTTTTTAATTCGGGGGCGACTATTTACAGATAAGGAACAGCGGCTCTGTTTTCTTCTACGGTGTGTTCTCTTTTCTGACTTCTTTGCCAGGTTAGTTCGCTCACATAGGATAATGGTAGTATGCCAGTGGACCTATTGACATTTCCTTGTGTTTCGATATGCCATGACCCTAGGCTGATAGAAGTTCGTCTCAACATTTACGATGCAGGTGTTTGCAAAGTCTATGCCAGGGGTGGCCAGGCTGACCGGGCCTAAGAGCCGCAAACAAACCCACGAAGCTTCCAAGAGCTGCGGGGGGGGGGGGGGGGGGCAACATTTTTGTACAGAACAATAAACAAAGCTCGAACTACTTTCAATCCATCCTAGTCAAAAGCAGTGCAACTGTACGTGAGGTAGCAGTAGCACAAGACTACAAAACCACAACATGTCTTTCGATTTAATACATCATCCATTTCTCTGTTTGGGGAAATGCTCGTGTGACCGGGAGGAAGGTTGGGGAGTAAGGGGGGGGGGGGGGGGGGGGAGCCGCGAGCCGCACTTCAACAAGCGAAGAGCCGCGTGTGGCTCGCGAGCCGGAGTTTGGCCACCCTCGGTTTATGCGATGGTTATTGTCCTCACAGTGCTCAGCAACAGTGCCGCACTCCTGGTCAAATTTTCGTGCATCGTTTTTGTTTCGCCGATGTAGGTGGCAGGGCACTCTGCACATGGAATTGAATACACAGCACCCTGCGCTCTTTCTTCAGAGGGAATATTTCAGTCACAGCATCATACATTTAAGTCTTGATACCAGTTTGTGGGGCACCCAAATACCTTCTTTTGCCAGCGTACGTGCCAGCGCTTTGCTAGTTCCCTTTATGTAGGGAACGTACATGCGGGTGTTTGGGTGAAGCCACGTGCCATTTTGTGGCTGAAGGTGTCGGCGATTGCAATTTTGACGCCGGGCAACACGACTGACGAAACTGATGGTATAACCATTCTTCTTGAAATTGGTGATGACTGTTTCCCTTTTGTTTTTTCGATCCATCTGTGATGATTAGATGCTCCTCGCTCTGGACCGCAGGGCCGTAACCACACAAGTATTGCGACTCATTGGGTGGTTTGTGTCAAACTGGAGGTAACATCCTGTGTGAGTCGGCTTTCTGTATACTGTAAACCCCAGTCCTTCACCATACCTCTTCATAAGCACATCCGGAAACAGTAAAATGTTGTCTTTCTAACTTTCCACTGTGAATCGGATGGCCGGCTCTTTGGTGTTTAGATGTGCTAGGACGCTGTCTATTTCAAACTTCTTTAGGATACAAAAGATATCATCTTATTCAGGTCTTTCTCTTTCTCGACGGCATCTTTGGCCGTGGCGATTGCCGGGGGAGCAGGAACGCTTCAATAAAATCACGTCAAAAGACACCAGGCTCTTCTTGGCTGTGACCTTTAGTTCCCAAACGAGCCCCATGAAATGGCCAGAGTTTTGCACATACCGTAAAATACTGCAGAAGGCCCATTTCATACAAGCACCCACTATTAACATTTCCAAAACTTGGGAATTCTGCAAAGTATTTGCTAATTGTCCACTTTCTCCAAAGTGCCGGCATCAGCCGAAAATATTCACCTCGTTGCAGCAGCCATCAGACCGCCAGCGGTGATGACGGGGATATCCGCTTTCTTGCGATCGAAAGGGAAAAACTACTTGTGATGAGAGGATTCACTTATTCTGCACTGACTCAGATTTGTTTTCTGGGTTCAGTGACAATGAATAGGTACTAACTAGTTTATTCATTTTGACATGATAAAAGATGAGGGGAACCCCATCATTCATCATGTGAAAATAAATGTGCTTTCTCTGATTCCATTCACCCTTCTTACCTTCAAAGCTCTTTATTGACCGGCATATTGGTTTTTACCGACTTGACTGGACAAGTGCCCATGTCTAGATTAATTGAGTTTTCAGTGAAAGTGAGGTGGGCGCTTCCTCGGTATTTTACGGTAGGTCGGAGTTTTTCCAATGAGGGGGGAGAGAGTGTGGTGGGGGTAGTTGGAGAGTCAGGCACGTAGCCAGGATTTTGTTTCGGGGGGTGCCCGCCCATGACAAAATGCTGTATGAGGGAGGAGAGGAGGCCCCCGCAAAACGGAAGATTTCGGGGAGAGCTCAGGCCCCATGGGCCGCTCCCCTGGCTACATGCCTGTGGAGAGTGTCTGAAGCGGCGAGATAGTGAAATCTACGATGGGCCGGAGAGGAATGTTGGGCTTATGGATCTTAGGGAACCCGTAGAATCCAGATGAAGAGTTATTTCTGCAAATCAGTCGTGGGTGCAGGTTTCTCGATTTGAGATGTTTTTTTGAAGATTTCGGCCAGGATCTCGTTCTATTTTGTCTGGATCTGTGTCGTAGGGTAATTTTTTTTAGTTTTGGGTAAGCCAAGCTATTGAGGAGATTCCAAACCTTGATCTCTTAGTCATCTCAGTCTATGTGCAAAACTCCGGCCATTTCGTGGGGCTCGTCTTGGAACTCAAGGTCACTGCCGAGGAGAGACTGGTATCCTTTGACGTGATTTCATTGTTCACAAGCGTTACTGTTCCCCTGGCAATCGCCATGGCTACAAACACCCCCAAGAAAGAGAAAGACTTGAATGAAAGGACTAGCCTTAGCGTCGATGAACTGTGTCACCTCCTTGAGTTATGCGTTAGCAGCACTTACCTCAGCTTCAAAGGAGAGTTTTAAAGCCAAACCAGCGGAACTGTCACGGGTGCATTGATCTTGATCACCGCAGCAATTCTGACAATGGAGGCCATCGAGCAAAGGGTGCTGTGGTCATTCGTCACAACCCCAAAAGGGCTTTTTTGCTACATCAACAATATTTTTTGTATCAAAAAGTCTGAAGTAGGCAACGTTCTGGGGCATCTAAACACCATAGAGCCGGCCATCCAATTCACAGTGGAACATGAGAAGGACAACACCTTACCGTTTTGGGATGTGCTTATGAAGAGGCAAGGTGGACGCCTGGAGTTTACAGTATACAGAAAGCTGACTCACACAGGACGTTAACTCCAGTTTGACTGAAAACATCCAATAAGTCGCAAGGCTTCGGTGGTTACGACCCTGTTGTCCAGAGTGAGGAACACCTTCTTATCATAGACAGGCCGAAAAAACAAAGAGCAAACAGTCATCAATGATTTAAAAAAGAATGGCTACACCAGCAGTTTCTTTTGTTGTGTTGCTCGGCGTCACCGTCAGCCACAGGACAGCACGTGGCTCCGCCCAAACACCCTCATTTGCGTTTCCTACATTAAGAAAACTGGCGAAGCGCTGGCACATACGCTGGCAAAAGGTATTTAGGTGCCCCACAAACCGGTATTAACACTTGGACGTATGATGCCATGACCGAAAGATCGTCCCTCTAAAGAAAGAGCGCAAGGTGTTGTGCATTCAATTCCCTGCGCAGAGTGCCCTTCCACCTACGTCGGCAAATGATGAACCTCCCAGAAAGAATTCTACAACAGAACAGTGATGTGCGCAAATTCGGCCGTTAGCGCAGCGCTGTTGCTAGGCGCCGTGAGGACGGTGACCATCGCATCGACTTTGCAGACACCCCCATCATAAACGTTGAAGCGAACTTCCGTCAGCAACTATTTATAGACCTGTCATCTTAGCAGTTAGCTGACCGGTGGACAGGGCGCGCTGACACGTGCAGCACAATAAGGTGGCTTCAACCTGGTTGGGTTCAGTTCCAGCAGGCTCGCGTATGGGCTGGTGTGTTCTGTAGTTTTCGCCTAGTTTTGTGATATAGGTAAATGTATCCCTTGTGGTAAAGAACCAATGGTTCTGTGGTAATGGGCCATTTTGAAAGCTACGACATAGTTACATGTTTAAATTGTGTACATTTTAAGGAACGCCTTCATCTGATCATGTTCCTCATTCGGCCAGGTTCGGCGGCGAAACGCCTGAAATCATGCCAGGGGAGGGTTAGTGATTTTTATAACCGTACTGGTCGTACTAGTTGATACTAGTTTCCATAAAAATAAGCTAATGAAGAGGCTGATGCCTGGAGGCAGTGAAAAAGCGGGTCGACAGCCTGACTAACAATGTCCTGAATTGCAGAGAACAGATGAACTCACAAGTTTAGTGCTCACTGTTCGGTTTTTGAGGACACCAATTTTTTTTGGTGGAAATTGCCGACCGGAAAACTCCATTATAATGGCACATGGAATGAAAAAAAAAAAAGCAATATTGCCTCCGTTGGTCTCTTTAAAGAAATTAAGTAAATTAAGTATTCGAGAGATGCTTTGATGGTGTCTCGTAAACCATGTAGGAAATTTTTTCAACTATCAGCCCTGCTAAAGTATTTATTGGCAGCTTTTCTTATAGTTGACTTTAGGAAACTATCTGTTATACGGACATTTTCCTACAACGTATTGAGAATATGAGGTATGGGACAAACCTGTCAATTGAACTGTGGCGTCTGCCTTCCATATAAATTGCGGAATAAAAGTAAATGGTGCAAGAAAATTGACCTCCAGCAAGCTTAGTTCAAGTCAAATGCCAGGCACCACTTCATGGATTTGTGTAGACAGGTCTTTGTTTGATTGAACAGATACACTTTTTACTGTCAGCGGCGCATAGAGTAAATCCGGCATCGACAACGCTGCACTCGAGTGATTTCCATGTACTTTTCGGCTTTTAGGATTGTGTACCTCAGGCACTTTTGTCAGGCACTCGCGAGCTGTCTGTGACACATTCTTCACCTGGGGACCCCAACTCTTCGTGTCTAAACAAATTAATTAAATTAATTACCTTAAGAAACCTGAATGACTGCAGATGAGACGTAGCACAGTGTATAGTTTCTTTAAATTCATATGTAAACAGATCAAGCGAAAGTTTATACTGCAAAAAATTATTCCCCAATATAATCAAGAGTAACTGTTTTGTTATACAGGCAGAGCACGATGCTTTCACGAAACACACAGTGACTCCTTGTGTTGACTATACTTGCATTCTTCTTTAACTCTTTTCTGACTGCACCCATAGGCCATTGATCCCCGGTGATAGACAGTTTCCAAGCGCCATCAAGAAATTAAATTTAGTGTGGAGAATTACGTTCCCCAGTCTCGTGGATAGCCGAAGAACTGTAGTTTCAATTTCAACATAGGTTTAAGCTTTATCGGAACCTGGTGGGCTGTCAAAAATAGTCTTGGGAACGTTGATTGCGCTTGTCTAACAAGGAAACTGCTTGCGTCAATCTTTGTAACGAAGATGGCATTATTTACATAATTCAGCTGTATTATGGCATATTTTTTGTACCTCCAGTGCTCTGGGGACACTTTAAATGATGGTATAGGAGTAACAGATGGCTGTCAGTAATCATCACTATAATATCCAATGCTGTCCTGAGCCGGCGTGCACATTTTATGTTCCTAACAAGGGCAAAAATGCTAAATATGAAAGAACTGCAATCAAGGCTATGACGAAACGAGGGTAACACACAAAGAAATCATTTTGTTTGGGATGTGTTTCACCGATATAAGCATTCTTTCGTTGAAAAGCGCACGTATTACGGAGGCTGACTCTTTGACGAACCAAAAATAGTTAACGCCGGTAACACTAGACTAACATTCAGAAGTAGGGTAATAGCCGTGGGTGGTGGGGCACATTTTGAATGGCCTGAAATTTTTTAAATTTGTCGTTTAATTTGAATAGTTGTAAAAGTATCTGCGTTCGTATGCCTTCCACGCATACATTGTATTTTCAAACAATAAAATTTTAAAATCTGTTTTCCACATTATACCAACCTCAGTTTCGTTTGAAAGAACAACTAATTTTACTGATTTTCATATGTCATATTGCTCCTACGCAAATTAGTTAGGAAAATAAAAGCGTTTGCATGGATCCTTTGAAAATGGCTACTTTTGCTATGGTCAGGATAGAGTTAAGACTATAAATGCTTGAATATACGTTGCACTTCTTACTGCGCCACTATCACGGAGCCACTATCACTTAAGAAAATTTGTGTGCTGTCATAAATATTTGGCCTCTCAACCCTCATGTGTCTTAGAATCATCTACATACTCAATGTGTGCCAGTGCTTATACTGATTCCTTTCCTCGTCCGTATCCAGTATGCCGATGGTGCAAATAGTTAAAACGTGCTACAGTCGAATCTCATTAGTTCATACTCGAGAGGGACCAAAAGTTTGTTAGAACAAAGCAAAGTTTGAATTACCGGGAGTTTCCTCCCACAGAGACATATAGGATGGGACCTGCATGTTAGTTTAAATTATCCGCAAGCTTGAATTAACGAGATTCGACTGTATGACATCAAGTGCAGAAGTTGTGCCCATATGATGGAATGCAGTTAGGTAGGTAGTAAAAATAACTGCCGGGCAACACTTCACAAACCAAGGCAAAAAAGCGCGGTAAACTGCGACGAAAAACACAAATACAGAATACAACACATTTGCCAGGGTGCTGAGGGGAGAGAGCGATGATTTGAAGCCACCTTATGGCGGCCGCGTCACATAATTCCAAGATGGCAGCGCCGATGCAACGGAGGGTGAAAAAGTCTATAAAGTCGTGGCATAGCCAAACAACACTAAGAAATGGCAATAAATCCTCTGGCACATTACCATCATCCTATGTGAACAGACTAAGTCACTTGACAGAAAAGTAGAAAAAGAGACAATCACGAGAGAAGAAAATAAAGCTGCTGTCCCCTATTCCCCCCCTACCGAGGGGGAGGGTGGGGGGGGGCCCTGATAGGGGTCTTTCCTTGGGAGGGGGGCGAGCAGTAAATACCACGACGGTGGCGGTTGTCCGGCGCAGGGGATGCCCTCGACTGTCGTCGACCCACTGTGTCGCCCTTTAGTGCCGACGGAAAGGCAAACAGCGCACAGTAGACGGGGACTAAAGGAAGTGCAAACAGGATAAGCGCTTGTCCTATTTGCACTTCCTTTAGTCCCCATTTACTGTGCGCTGTTTGCCTTTTCGTCAGTATGAACCAACTAACCCACATCGCCACCCTTATTCCTTTAGTGCCCTTTTGCGGGGTTGGGCTGGTGTCGGGCTCTGCAAGGTCCTTCCTCCCTATCGGTCCTTCCTGGGTTGTTCATTTGGCAAGGCCCAGTTTTTTCTTCCTTCGGTTTCCAATTGGCTTTTTGGTGAAATTTCCACTTGATCCCAGGATCCAATTCGTTTATATTGAATTAGCTTTAAATCGGTTGTACCTGCAATAGAAAGGCGGTACCGATCAAGGCACTTAATTTTTCAATCATTTTACAAAGCCTCACGTTACCAAATGCTGTCCCCTATATGTGAACAGTTGCCCCTGAAGAAGAAAACCGAGCCGGTTTTGAAATGTCGGGGACTCCTAATAGGATTTGGTTGGTGATTTCATTCAATTTTCAAAGTTCTTCTGCAACCAGGCAGACCTCTGCCGAAATGTTTACGTTCAAGAGCTAGTAATCAATGATTCAATTATTGATATTTTTTTCTAATGCAACTACTGAAGTCGAATTTCACCGCCGTTTCTTTTAGCTACAAGGTGAAGCTCGGAAAAATCACAGACTGGTAAGTTTTCGCCTTCCCTTGTCTACAGGAACGGTACTGTGCTCGTGAAAAGGTTTTTTTTTTCTAATCGAGCACATTCTCTTATTTGCAGAGAATAGGCCGTTTCGACCAGCACTCGGGCGAGCATCTAAATTCTGAAGAGAGCCCAGTCGAATACCTTCAGGTAAGACGGCGCTTCATTGCATGTTTCCTTTTTTTCTAGATTAAATTTTAGTTTCATGACGCAGTTGTGCACATTGTTGTACGCATGACTTCTGAAAACGGGGGGGTCTTTGGCTACATGCTAAATGTGAATGAAGATTCGAGCAGGTTCGGGGGATCGGTGGCTGAGCGTGTTAACGCCCTGCCGAATCCAGGGACTCGATCCGCAGCTGTGCCCGTTGTGATGTGGATGAGCATTGTACCAGCGCGCAGTCGCGTGTCACCACCATGTGGCATGTGTTAAAGACTCCAGGCTAGCAGCGATAGTGCACTGGCTATTTTCTCATCTACAGTCAAGACAGCAGACGTCCGTTAGGACAACTAACTTCCTGCTGTCTGAACAAACACACGACACAAGTACTTTGCGAGCATGTGCTCTGCCGCCATCTCCAAGCTGCCTAGGGCCTCTGGCCGTCCTGTCAAGACTCATGCTCGGGTTGCTCGCTTCGTTTTTTTTGCAGAGGTTGTTCAACCTCAACTACCAGGATGCCCGCAAGCAGCTGGGCAGCTTCGGCCTGGTGAGCTACGCGCACACGATCAAGAACGGAGACCTATCCGGAGGTCAGAAGGCGAGGGTGGCCCTGGCCGAGCTTTGCCTCAAGGCTCCCGACGTCCTCATCCTGGTGAGGGCCTCTTCTTCCGTCCAAATGCAGGATAGACCCGTTGCAAAATGTGCAGCGCCATCCGCGGTGCCCTGAGGAATGCTGGGAACACCCCACTCAGAACCGGTTGTAGCGGGCAAGGGATGATATGCAGGCTACAGTCTGTTGCAAGTTAAGGATAGTGGGACAGGCTCTTCCCGTGGGGCCCCTCCACTTTTTTCGCCTTAGTAAGGTAGATGCTGAAGAGCAGGAAACCATCGGTTATGACGAGCAGAGAGCTTTGTGGAAGGGACTTGTACTGCTATATTTTGAACCTGAAACAGACTAATGGGCGAGGGTGTGCGAGGAATTGAGTTACCTCTCTCGCTCTCTTCGGTGTCGTGACATAGAGGAAGCAGAGTCCTGTATGCTTTGACGAGACCTCACGTGCTGCCTTTTGGAAGTTTTGCAAAAAGTCTATTTTGGTTGCGATCGGGGAGCAGCTGAAATTTTTGTTCCGTCCAGGAGTGGAATGTATTTGACTAACATTGTTTTTGTCCTCCCCAATGCTCTCGTCTTACAACGAACTAAGACGTGGTAGGTGTGCAGGCTGGTACGAGTAAGGAGGGGGTTTCCGGGCTAGGGTTTGTATTCTGTGGATCGAGGCAGGAGATGTGATCGGAGAATGGTTGCTTGTGGTATTGTAATGCAATGTTCGGGTCTTTCTTTTTTTTTTTTTTTTTTTCTTTATGAGTAATTTTAAGCATGTTTGCTGGCGAGACGAGCAGGCACATAGCCTCCTATATACTGACAAAGCCTGGCAGTTCACCACAAGAAGCGGTCTCCGAAATAGAAAAGGTGGAGCGGCAAACAACGGATGAGAGGAGAGCCACGTGACTGGCGCCCTGCGGCGACCGAACGCTGAAAGACACTTCTCCCGAGTGAACAAGTGTGTTTCGTGTCCTCGCCGCTGCAGAAGTTGTGCGCTGACGCCCAAGTTTTTTTGAGAAATGGTTGTTCGATGCTCTGTGCTACCAGATCCTCGCTCTCCAAATCTACGACTGGGCATGCTATGGCTTTGTCGTCAAACTGCCAGGCTTTGTGAGTACAGTGTAGACTGCATATAACGTATGTCGCGGGAGTCGCTAAAATCCGCACTATAAGCGGTACCGCATATTAACCAAAACATAAATTTTTCAGGCCAAAATACATGCCATGAGACAACTTACCTTTGTAAAATAATTTATTTTATGTTACATGAAAAATAAAGCGTAGTTTGAGGAAAGTCTTTAATTCACCAGACTAGTACACCTCTCTCTCAAGTGTGTCACACATTTTGAAAGAAATGAGCGACTTTTGCCTGGCGCAGCCTTTTAATGGCATCGCGGGTTGCGGACGGACGTTGCGAGCGTTCAGGATTGCTAACCCTAATCACTTTTCTTCTGTGATGAAAACGCGTGAAAATTCACATCTTTTATACGGTACGCACCAGTAATACTTTCAACTTTAGCACAGACATGAAATGCTCCAAATAAGAAATCCGGGCGATGTTCGAAAACACAAATGCTAAGAAAGCACCACTGTAGTCGAAGTAAACAAACACGACGGCACGGGCGTTTCTGCCGTCTTGAGAGTGCGTCCACGACATCGCCACACAAATAGATGGATCTTCCCTTCTAGTACGTGCTGGGTTATCGTAGCAACACACAACGAAAATTCACAGTGAAGGATAGCGCTTTTACGCGAACGATGAGCTTTCGCCACGCCGTCTACGTCGACAATCACAACCGACGCCATGTTTGCGGATAGAAGAAGCCGGCCCGCGACCGGCATGCTTCTCCTCAACCTGCAATTGGTCTGTCGTTGCGGTTGTCTCCAACGCAGCGGAGGGACGCACACATGTGAATGACACGTGCGTGAGTCCCTCCGCCCAGATGCCTGTCGTTGGTTTGGCACGTAAAACCCCCCCCAAATTTTTCGTCCCTCCGTCGCTATGGCAACTGAAGCCTCTTTCTTCGCTTCTCCCCGCTTCTTCGAGCAATTTCCTTGCCCCGCGAGTGCCGCTTGCGGCCAGCGCCGTTATTTAGTGTCGCACAGGGAAGCGTGCTCGCTGCACTGGTTGGTCGGCACGGTCGGTGGGCTGTTCCAGAAACTGCACTATAACTGGTATTTCCCTTTGCGCGCCCGCATTTTAAGCGGTATGTGATTACATGGAGTTCTATGGGAGGCGAACCGGTGGTTTAAGAAAGCCGCGTTATACCCAGTCCTGCACTATAAGCGGTTACGTTGTAAGTGGTCTATACTGTATAGAGGAGGCTATGGGGCTATGGGATGATGTGGTTTGAACAATTTGTTTGTTAGTAGTATGGTTTGCCTTCCCGGTGATGTTGATTTGACATGGCGGGAGATCATAATAATAATATGAAGTTTATTACCAGTTTCTTTAACAACATACATTTAATTCTGCTTCAAAAAAGCATGTGCATGCTTGTGTGTGATCCACACTAAATTAGCTATCGTCCCTCGCCTTGCTTGTTTAATCTGTCTACATAACTTAATTCCAAATTTGTCTTCATTTTTCAGGATGAACCTACAAACAACTTGGACATTGAGTCAATCGATGCCTTGGCTGAAGCCATTGGGTGCTATGAGGGTGGTAGGTTATTATATTTATCTTTTCTTCAAGGAGAACATTCTTTTCAGACCCAATGCTCGAAGGACTAGGGGCCGAGATAACTTCCATTGTCCCTTTACAAGCCCCTTTAATCGGGACTCTAATTATGAGCTTTTAATATGTTAAATAATAAATTTAGAAAGATAGCTTAATTTCACAGTTATGCCCAACGCAAGGGTACTTTGCTGGGTCAAGTAATATGTGGTCATTGCCTGTATTTTATCTTTTGTCTCTGTTTGCTGGCATTTGAATGTTTTAATCACAAACCAGCTAGCTTCACTTGCCACCTTTTTATATAATAGTTTATAAGAGTATTGCTGAATAGGAACCATTGAACCATTGATCACAATGCCTACCTTGATAGGCATTGTGATCAGCATCTTGTCATGACTTTATTCATTTATTACCGGGACGACAAAGCTGTCATTTGGTAGTTGCATCTGAAGTTTGCTTTTTAGATGTTCTACATGCCATCGAGGTACTGCATTTGGCAGTTTGATACTTTAGTCCTACGTTTCAGGAGAAAGAAACAAGCCGTCGGTGCACAAAAAAAGTGTTCTTTGTGTAAGGCAAAAGAAACCAAGTGCACATCTGATTTTATCACACCACCATCTCCTTCCACACAGTAAAGTTTGTCTGCTATGGTCACTGTATGTCAATAGGCACACACAAAGACGCAGTGCCTGAAGCCGGCTACAGCTGCACCATCTTCCGAAAGCTGTGTGCTAACAATGTGGCAACGCAAGCTTGGGCTCCAGGCTAGGCTTCCAGAGTGCGCTTCACGCAGTCACCCCTCGCTTCGCTTGGGGAAAATTTATTATAGTCTCGGGCCTGAGCGTGCACCAGGCCTTGTTGGACCCGCCAAGGGTTTCCCAGGCGATTGCCTTCTGCTCTCATCATTGACCTCTACCACAGCGTGTCTGAGTTTGGCCAGCGTTGACGCATGCACTTTAGCAGACGACCATTGGAAAATGGCATCTACCGTTGCTGGCTTCAGATGCTGCGTTTGCTCATTCTACATTAAAAAGTTGCTTCGTTGCAACGAGCCTTACACGAAAAGTGTGTTTTAAGCTAGCAACTTGAACCAAGTTTTTTGTACTGCGACATGGGGCTATACCACCGATAGGCCCTGCATTCATCGTACAGGGCTGCATTAGTTTTGATCATCTATGCAGAACGCAAGTTTGTCTGCTTCTTTTGCAGGGGTTGTGATGACATCAGAATTCTGAGCTCTGATTGGCTCTGATTGAAGCAGTGGCTTAGCCAGGAATTGTTTTTCAGGAGTGGGAAGCTGAGGTGGCTGGAATGTATGACTTGGGGTGTGGAACGGGGGAGAGGGGGTCAAAGTGCATGTGTATACACAAACTAATGTTTACAAACAAACTGGAGCGCCCCTAGCAAACGCCACCGGCGCCGCGCATGCGCGATGGAGTGTGGGAAAGCTCGCTGTCGCCCATAAACAAACCATTGAAATGCGATGTTGTCGTTGTCGGTGTGAGTCCCCCTGCCCTTTTTCACATTCGAATTGTTGATTCTACGCCTTCCTGGCAATGTCTCACAACTTGAGTGGCCTCAGCGAAATTATCGAGGCTCGTTACACCGCAAAACTTTGCGTGAATAATGTGACATGCGGCGATTCATTTTGCGTGGACGCCGCAGAATATACGCTAAAGCCTAATTCGCATGACGAGATTTTGTTTGCAATTTTCAGTCGCAACGTCACTCGGGCTGCAAAAGTGTGAAACGTAGCTGAGATGGTCGACGTCGATACTGAAAATCGCAAGCAGAATCGGACCAAGTGAATCGGGCATAACAAGTCTGTGATGGCCTCTGGTAACAATAATCAACATCTCCTTGTATCTACTGTTTACATCGAGCCTGCTTACCAACCTTCAAACTTAAGCCTTACGAGGCCTGCATTTACTTCTTATTGCAAGTACTGGGTTTGGTCTACGGGCTGGTGTCGTCTAAAAGAGCAGACGACAAGCAGAAACGTTTGAAAGAGCAAACGACAGTTCGAACGATCAGGCGGCCGTTTGAACTTGAAGACTCACTGAATGTAGTTTGGAGGCGGTCCGTACAACTTGACGGTTTCCCGGCGTTCATGTTGGAACAAAACAAATAAATCTGATGACCACAAGTACCTGTGAATTCAACCCAAAGTGCTTCCCGCCCAAGCAGTCGTGGTCCGATGGCGTCTGGTTTTCCCTTTTCACGGCACATTTCCACGTCCTTCAACGAACCGAGCGCATAAAAACTGACCTTCAAACTTTTCTCGACTCTTTTGGTACAGCCCCCATCGCGGCGTTTTGACGGGAAGGCAAGTTTTTGTCTGGTTCCTTTCAAAACAATGCAGGAATACACGTCTCACATGGGGACATCTGCCCACAGCCCCAGACCGGAAGTGTGTCCGACACATCACCACCGCGCTGTGACGTAACAGAGATGAGTTGGTGTATATTATGCAGAGCACAAGTTTGTCTGCCTCTTTTGCAGGGGTTGTGGTGAAGTCAGAACGCTGGGCTCTAGTTGGTTCTGACTGAAGGATAGTGGGTAGACCTCAAGGCAGCTTGCTTTGAGGTCTACCCACTATCCTTCAATCAGAGCTCGGTGTTGCAACGTCCCCGCAACTCCTGCGCAAGAAGCAGAAAACTTGATCTCCATATAGGGTCGGCTGGATTGTGGAGGAGGGGGGGGGGGGGGGGGCTGGCTGATGCCTTGTAAGCTTTTCTCTTGGATACACCACTAGATTAAAAGATAGTGGGTAGACCCTAAGGCAATATGCTTTGAGGTCTATCCACTGCTCTTTAATCGGAGCCAACCAGAGCTCGGCGTTCTGACGTCACCACAACCCATGCAAAATAAGCAGACTAACTTGCGCTCTGGATACTTAGGTTTACTAGCGCTCTGGATACTTAGGTTTATCATTAGTGTGAGCAAAGCTGAAACTGCAAGCATGTGTTTGTTACCATGAACGACACTTATTGACACGAGTGTACGTGCACGGCACGGCAAGCTCAAGCATGGTGCTCGCTCTTGTACCTTCGGCTTCACTCACTCTTAGTGTGATGAAACAGTGTGTACGGCCAAAGGCGACGATCGTCGGTGATGACGGCAGGCTGGCAAGAATAGGTCTCCACATTACTGCTTCCTGCAGCCTGTACCTGTTGAAAGACATTGGTTTCCCTACAGATGCCCAAGTTCAGTGGTTGGTGTGGTAAAAACATTGACTTTGTGAAGATACCGATATAAATTTGCTAGACTGGTCTTTTGTATCCAGTTCTTTTCGGAACATGAAAGTCACTGGTCATTTTGCATTTTTGGGTGCGCAGGAGTTATCATTGTGAGCCACGACGAGCGGCTGATTCGAGAAACAAACTGCCAGCTCTGGGTGATCGAGCACAAAGGAATCGAAGAGATTGACGGAGACTTCGAAGACTACAGGAAAGAACTGCTGGAATCTCTGGGAGAGATTGTCAACAACCCTAGCATTGCAGCTCGACAAGCCATGGAATAACTGCCACTAAAGGAGGAATATGATTGGACTGTTGAAAGCTTTAGCTTGAGTCAGTGTCATGAAGTTTTATGAAAATTTGTGACCTGAAAGATATCGCCGTGGAAAATATGAATATATTTTTAATAATTCTGACCATATCTTTCACAATGGTGATTGGCTATAACTTATTTGGCGCTGGTTGTAAGATACAAATTTAGGCTAAGCAAAGAGAGAAAGAGGAAAACTTGCATCACTCGACGTGCATGTTGAGCGAACGTTTCCGCACAATTTCTGAAAATAAAATGGTTAAATTTTGGTGTTGTGTTTCTGTCACTGCGACGGGCTTTGATAGCTCTGGCTGTCCTGTCATCGTACCGGGTTTTGTTTCGGTTTGCACGTCAAATATGTCAAATGCCTAAATTTTAATATTTTTTTATAAATGTGAAGTTTTATTTAAATACATATCTCGTATCTATTCTATCCGTCACCTCATGCATTTATTTAATGACATTACCTTGCATCTGATTAATACTACTATACCACCTCGTGCGTTTGGTATGGACAGGCTTGCTCCTCATTCTATTTAGATTTCCCGATCTCCCGAGCCCCGTCGTTTTCCTACGACGTCTGCCCGTCCAGTTTTCATCGCACATGTTGGAAAAAGTGGTGGGTCTATTTCACGATTATTTTGCATTGTTTAAGGAGACTTGAGCCTCATAGAGAAGCGCGCGGCTCGATCTGTAGTCTGTGTAAGACATGGGGAGAAAATCCCCTGAACTTATCAGTCGCCTCAAATCTAGGAAATCCGTTAGTCACTTCTCTCCCGATTCCTGTAATTATTTCGTAAATTGAGCGTACAACGCGTCCTTCCACCTTTTTCCAGGCACGAAGACTCTCAGTAAAAACGTTTTTTTTTTGTTTTTGATTTGTGTAGCTACCTCTTTGTCGCAGCTTACGCAAGCTCTTGGCAGCGCAACGAACGCCGTGCTTTTCGTGTTCACGGACCGTCAAAATTGGGTTCATGACCGTAAACTACCCTTTTAGCGTAAGTTTCTTTCGCTTTTATACCATGTTATTAAACCCTACGCTATAATTCTTATAAGTTGGGACAAAGCGCTTCATTCTTTGTTTCGCACGCTGAGTCAACGTGCTGACATTTTTTTTTTTTTTTTTTTTTTTGTGACTCAGTGGGAATTTATCTTCATGAGTTGTCTACTGTGCCCGACATTTTGGTGCAGAAATAGTGCAAAGTTGTTGAAAGTTAAAGAGCATTTTGCCTCCAGTGCGCGCGCACTTCCGAGCTGGTAAGCAGCGCACGCTTGTGTTTGCAACTTGCATATTGCTCTCCGAGCGCCCGCAAAGAAGCTCCGCGCGGCCTTTGGTCAGAAATGCATTCTCCGCGCTATCTGTAAAGTCAGCCTTCCGTGTCGCAGCCGATAGACCCGATAGTGAGCACCAGAGTGAAAATATGCGACGTCGAGGGCTGGCTAGCGACGGTCCTATCTCGTCTGCTTGACATACACAGTGCTCACGTAGAACAAATGCCGTGCTCTGCAGTACGTTACTCGAGGTTCGGTATGTTTCTGGCGCCAAGCTGGCAACAAACGTCCCTAATATGGAATTAACCAACAGCTGGTGATTATACAGTTTGAAATTTTTTACATGATTATGTTCCTCACCAGTTTGATCTTATGTATGTTACAGTCAGCAGGGACATGTTACAGACACAAGCCATTCCACTGGCTTCGAGGCAAAACGCCACCCTACGGATTCGCTGTTGGTAGATCCAAATCTTGGCCAAGGGTGCCCGTAATATGACGAGCAAATCCCAGGCTGCTTAGATTAATCCTCAACTCTTCACAGAGATGTGCCAGACGGCCTTTCTTGATTTGGCGCCTAGGCCCCTAAAGTTTCATTTTGTCATATTACAAATTCAAAAGCAGCTTTGCAACTTCAGTTGATGTTGCTAATCATGCTATGGAGGACCAAGGTTGCAGAATCCCCTCTTGAACTTTTTGCTCCAACCAAAAGACAACTCCAGTGTGAACTATGCACCAATAGAACAGATATAACAAAAGTTTCTTGCCCTATAGACTATCTTTGAAGCTGTGTGTGAGATCCTTCACAAAAATTGGCTGTACTTTGGAATCTATCGTGAACGAAGAGTTGTAACAAATGCTCTTTGCTGCTTTGTTGCTGTACAGTTGCCTGGGAGATGCACTCACGTACGAGTTTTGCTTCACCTCGCACCACACTTCCCAGGGACATGGATCATTGTGCGAATAATGATTGTTATTGGCGAAGTTAATCCCATACTGCCAAACAGCCAAACCACAAACCAAACCTTCTCGCCAAAGGCCTTGGGAACGCTCAGAACCGGTTGGATCCTCGAGCCCCTATACGACTGCAGTGCCGCCGCATACGTCCGGGACCTTTCTACGCTTGCCGCTCGTTGGCGCCTCACCCCACTACCCCTTTCTAGTATGTGCCGCCTTTTCCACCGCCTGGTGGCGCGTATGTCGACGGCTCATTTCTTGTTTCCATACTTTATAAACTGCATTTGTTTCTTTTCTGATCTCAAATACTGAACAAAAGCTACTTTCATAAATAATTGAAACGGTTCACGCCACTTATATTTTTTTGTATTTCGACTACAAAGAAGCTTTTAGTGGCTTTGACCAGTAGTAAGCCCATAACCAAAGACTTGACATATCGCGCACTTTCAGAACCGCGGGTCGTCCCCATAGGTGGAGGAGATTTCCATGTCGTCCGGTTAAAATATGACGCACTGATATTTAATTACTCTCTCCGTGCCCGCTGGCTTGCCCAAACCTCAAGAGATGTGGAAACCGCAAAAAAAGGTAGACGCTTAAATATGATTGCAGGGCTCCATTAACCTTAAAAATAATGCAGAAATTATTCCACAAAGAAACAACAAAAAGACATGAAACTAAGTTTATTAAATAAATGTTTATTCAGTTCCTTGAGGAGATCACCGAATGGTAGCTTAAAACGTCATTATAAGGAACATGTGTAATACAGCACGAATTTACGATAGTAGTAATTTTTAATGTTGCAAGTAAAAAGAAAGCTATGCTGAGTATCTACTTGCGTATGCAAGAAACACACGCATGCAAGCGTATGCAAGAAACACACGCATAAAAAGTAATGACTGGCATGTCCCCGTGGTGCAAGTATGCTGAACATAATGTATTCAAAAGCAAAAAATACTATTCTACGGAAAGCTAGAACATTTTCCTTTTATAATAATAATGATACTAATGAATAAATGACTTGTGCATCTATACTCATAGGTCCCTTTAGAGAAAATGTATTATTAAATGTCTGCAACATTTTAATGTGCTCCTCTTAGTAGCTCAATCATCTAGCTCAGTGCAATTTTCACTTTCATGCTTACTTATACTAGAATATGATTAGTGCTCATAAAAGTGGTCGCTTGCAGTATTGGCTACATTCTCCTGCAGTGCGAAGCCGATCTGTTGGAATGTGAGCGAGCACAACTGTCTTAACTCGCCAACATGTCTAGGTTAGCAGTCAAGGGCCCGCTTTTATGCTTTCGTTTACATCTTGAAAATGTTTCTCGAAATGTGAGACTAGCGTGATAATAAGCAAGCGTTCGCCTTAGCGTTTTAACACCGCTGTCTTTATCATTCATGTGCGAAGCAAAGTTGTTACGTTGCCTAGCTCTTCTGCACTTTGCATCAGCCATCAATTGAATAAAAAAAAAAACTTACTTGAGCGAGAAAAAAAAAACAAGCGCAAAGCAATATATCTAAGGGATGTTGACTGGACCTTGCTGTTGTTCTGCGCGAGCGAAGCTACGACGCTAGCCATCGTCATGCTCCAAAAAATTTAATAAAAAAATAGATGCTCCCTGATGTTACATACAAATATCAAGAGCCCTTCATGCAATGATAGCAAATGTCATATATTAAAAAAAGTTTAGGACCCCGGTAGAAACACTAATGCGCGGGTGCTTCTCTTTAGGAGCATGAATATTACAGGAAAACGCTACGGCTATTCAAACAGTGGTTATAATACAATTACCTTTAAAAGAAAAGTAACACAATTGCAATCTTTACATCAGTTTTTTTTAATTTGATTACCTTATTGGATACATATCGGAACACAGCAGTCGCACGGTTGCTGGGCGCCACTTTCACACGCCGCAAACAGCTACAGCACTTTGCCAGCCGCCTCAAAGATGGCGTTGGAAGGGAAATTGACGCCACATCTGACAGAGGGTGGGCTAATCTGCATAAGGTCTATTGGCACTTAGGCCAAAGGACATCAATTTACCCGCTATATTTAGCCGGGAGTCTGAATTGGTCTAAACGTCACATGACGTCAATATCCCCACTAAATTTAGCGGGGAATCAAAATTGATGTCTAGGACTAGGTCACAATACCTGAATTTTCCCCCTGAACTTAGCGAGGAAACTGAACTTACATGTAGGTCATGTTACATCAATTTCCCCTCTAAATTTAGATGGGCAGACAAACTTCTGGGATTGGGTTGTTTCGTTAAAAAGCATTCCATGCTTTAATATATAAAATAAATGAAGACTGTGAGATCATTGCATTTCACGGTGATCCCACTGTCCGCTCCAAATAGTATTGCAATCCACCCTTTTTTGGATTCCCGGTTTGAGGATTTTTTCGTGCGAGAATGTGTGGGTGCAGCACGAGCGAGCGCAAATATTCCTTTGAGTTAGAACAAAGAAGCTTCTCCCTTCTCCTTCCTTCTGGCACCTTTGCTTTCCTCGAGTTTCTTACCAAGATAATCCTCCAACAAGGGGTGCCACTTTTGCCGAAAGAGGTTGGTTCAAAGAAATGGCTCACAGTGCCGTGGAAATCAACTGCAAGATTAGTGCAGTTTTACTAGGCGTTACTTTCGAATACCACTGTGAGGTTTTGCTTTGTGCTGAGAGTTGAAAGCTGCTTGACACTGCACCTTGGCAAAGCCGATTCAAATGATGCACTGCTCGTCCCCTTTCAGCCAAGCAAGTGAGTGCTGAGTAAGCATGGATCCGTCGTGGCCGGTCAACCTGGAGGCCCTCTGGGTCTCTGGCCGAAACAAGAAGAGCGAGCCCTTCGTGAAGGTGCTGACCACGTACCTGGACAAGGCACCCAACTGCTTTGAGTGCGCCATCGCCCTGATGCGGGCTGCCTCTGACTTCCACAAGAACAGGCCCACGGCACAGAGTTACACCATCATGAGCGTCTTCTACGAATGGGTAAGAAAATAACGAATGATTGGCTGTCGATGTTGAGATTGTCGAAGCAGTACATGGAGGCATGTTTCGAATATGATATTGTGAGCTTGTTTTTTGAATGAGTAATATCAGATTAGCTGTCAACGTTAAGATTGATGAGGCATGGAGGCATGTTCGAAATATCATATCCTGAGCCTGTTCTACGAGTTAGCAAAGAAGTGGTGTCAGATTAGCTGTCAATGTTGAGATCATCAGGCAGCATAAAATGACCTGTTTCAGATATGTCACGAGCGTGTTTTACAGATTAGTAAGAGAATGATGTCCAGATTAGTGGTTAATCTATAGATTTGTGAGGCAGTACGTGAAGGCGTGCTTCAGATGTGATCTTTGGGGTGCGGCTGTGAAGTTTGATGGTATTGGAGACAGTATTCATATAGCAGTGGGCAAGTTGAGAGATCAAATCTAATGTTGCACAGTTTCAGTAGTGAAATCGTTTCAACTAAACTGACATCTGTTTTTCCACTGTAGACCGCTTGAACATGTATCGGTGACGGCATGCCCACAACATGGAAACGTGAAAGTTTCCAGGTCACTAAGAGCACATGCAAAAAGTAAATGATGCACGTTTTGGTCGGAAAAGTACTGCACTACCTTCTCATGGTTGATTTCAGGTGTCTGAGCGTCAGGAGCTCTACCCTGCACTGCTTACCCGAGAGATCAAGCGGCACGCGCTGCAAACAGTGCTGAAGCAGACAAACACCTCGCTCATCGATCTTGTGTGCAGAGTGTACAGGCTGGACGAGAATGCCCAGGACTACATGGATGTTGTGCAGGACCTCTTGCTCAGGCAGCATTTCAACGAGGTAACTGGTAACTCTATGCTTGCACTTGAGTGGTGTCCCCTTTTGGGTCCAGACTACTGGGGTACAGCTGCCACAACAAACTGGTGCAATAATTTGCTCAGGTTATTGATTTGACTGTGCACTTACAGACACTGTCAGCATAAACAGGCAGACTAGCTACTGTGTCCACGCAGAGTTAAAAATGGATGCTCATTCCATGAAGCTTGGTTTTCGTCGTAAATCAAGATGTATAGCTTCGCTTCTGGGCACTACAAATGTTGCTCATTCCCGCGGAGAATGCTGCGAGCCATCTAAGCCAATCCCATGCCGTGCGAATGTAACAAGACCTTTGGGAGGGGCAGCTTGGGGTGCGTAGTCACATGATACATTCGAGAGATTGACCGAATCTGCTGAACTTCAGATTTGGCAAAGTTCGGCACATACCAAAGCTTTTGAAGGAAAGTTTGGCAAAAGTTCGGCAAAAATTTGGCAAACGTCTGCGCACTCGCGGAAACGTGACAGGGCCATCGATTGCAAATGGACGTAGTTTGTGCCAAAGCAAAATAATATCGCTTTTTAATTAGCGTTATTTCACTGTTTTTATCTATCCGCATAAAACTAAACATAGAACTATCATGCTTGACATTGCAGATCTGACATTCCTAACTCTTCCCATCTTTCTAAACATCCAGTGTGTCCTAACATCAGAAATTGGCATTTTAAAAGTTAAAAACGGGACGTTGCGGATAGGGGTGCCCACTTTCATACAAAGCTGAAGTGACTCAAATAAAACAACATGCATACTTACAATAATATTGTTATCTCTTCTGGTGAAGGCTCAGCAGCCATTGCATTCATTTTTGCGCACAAAATGGTGACTCCAGAGGAAGTAAGAACACAGTGTTATTGCCTTTATTTCAGTAATACACACTTGCAGGCTGCTCAAAATCGAAACTCGTGCATCGTGACTGCGCCTGCTGCTGCAGTACAACCCACTTATAACGATACCACATATAACGATGCATTGCTTCAAATAATCAGTTTCTAGAGTTTCTTGACTGGAAATGATCAGTTTCTAGTCGAGATACAACGATAATCGGTTATAACAATTGAAATTTTGGGTTTTCTTATTATGGTTAAAAGTGGGTTGCATTGTACCCAATCCTGTTGTCACAGCACTTCTGCAAAAAGTCACTTTAAAATTACCATTAAACACACAAAAATGACACCAATACAATTATCTAGTAGAATATCACCTTATTAAAGGGGTACTGACACATCAAAATCATTATTTTTTTTATTATACGAAACAATTGAAAACGATGCCGGGACATTACCCTCAAAATTCGAAACTTGGGAGTTCAGTATTTGTGAAGTAAAAAAAAACAATTTCCAAATGCCGACTTTGAAGTTCCTGCTCGATCCACGTCAGTGCAGTGGCGTCAAATTTTGCGGTCTCCTGCGAGTCGACTTTCTTTCTCACCTCCGCTCCAAACCACCGCGACCCGAAGCGAGGAGGTGAGGAGGCGGGAGAAAAGGGCGCTGGCGGACCGGGAAAAGCCGGTTTCTTCGTTCAGTTCCCCGAACTCACCGATCGTCCTCTGCTTGAGCGCAGCCAACTTTTCCGAAGGAGGTTACAAATCCAGGAGGCAACATTGCACCGGACTCTGATTTTTAGTATTTCAAAAAGAAGGGCGGGAGTGCGTTCGCAATTGCGTTAAAAAACATGTCTTACGATTGCCGTTATTAAATTCTATAGAAATGTCGCCTACAAAGCTTCTAAATTTCATGATTTTTTATGTCACCAATCAAAAGAAGCGAGGAGGTGAGGAGCGGGAGGGGTACAGGGGAAACAGCACACCCGCAAAACAGTCACTCGAGTCAACACACACACAAAAGAAAGTCTCTTTCTTTTGTGTGTGTGTTGACTCGAGTGACTGTTTTGCGGGTGCACTGTTCTTCCTGTACATCATGAGCAACCAACTTGCCCAAACCTCTGTGTTAACGAGCGGAAAAGAAGAGCAACAAAAGTGAAAAAGCGCTCGCGTGCGCAAAAATTCTTTTTCTTTTTGCGATGCGTTTTTTTTTGCGTGTTTATGACTACAACTTGCATCGTTTTAGACAATGAAAAAAATGCAACCTTTGGGGTGTCAGTGCCCCTTTAAGTAATAACTGTAAATATGCAATAAAAAAAAACAATCTTTTTACAGGAAAAAATTTATACCGTAAAGTTGGGAAAGAACATTCGTCCAAAATGAATAGATAAATTATGAAAAACATGGGGTGGGCTATCTTTGGGGATGCCACAACAAAATTTTATCAAATATTAGTGATAAACACCTGGACACCCACTCAGACCACGGCACGCGGGAAATGATATTCCAGATTGCGGGCACCTCAAATTTGCATTTCACCGTGCGAAGGACTCGCTGAAACCCGCTGAGAACTCGCATCTCACGGGAATGAATACCGCAAATCGCGGACGCTACGGAATCGTATTTCACGATGCAATATAAACGCGGGACCAACTTGCGTGTTACGGGAATCAATATCGCGCGCGCAAGTTGCGGACAAAAAGGCGGGAATTCGCTACAAACCCGCATGTCACAGGAACGGATACCGCAAATCGTGACGCAGCAGATTCGCATGTCACGATGCAATATGCAACACAATGAACAACTCGTATGTTACAGGAGCCGATATCGCGCACGTTGGTAGCGTACAAAATTCCGGGAACCCTCTATGAACTCGCTTATTAGGTGTACTGGTACTGCAGATCGCGTGGCGGATGCGATTCTTGTCTGACATCACGTGACGTCCGAGGGAAATTAGGAAGGGGGGAGGGGCGATGTTTCGGAATTTTTATATCGCAGATATTTAGCCAGAAAAACAGGATGGGCGGTCTCGGGGGCAGGCGTTCTCTCGGAACTTTATGGTATATCAACTTCTAGGTCTCTTCAACAATGTATTTTTTTCCAAATCTTTGCCGAATCTTTTAAAAAATTTCGGCAAAAATTTTGTTTTGCCCAATCCCAAGATACGGGGCCGAATTTTCGATTCGGCAAAAGTTTGGCCCATCACTAATTCATTCGCAGTGTTTGATCGGCTAGGATGGCTTGTAGGGTCCGCTGTTGTCCATTGTAAGGTGAAACGAAACATAGTTTTCTCGCTCATATTGTTACACAGTGGGGTTATGATGCAGAGGTGTGAGCAGGAGGTGTCCGAAGATATCTTGCAGTATGTGAACGACTCTAGGGGAAGAAGACATAACTAGTACTATTTATAACAGAGTTGTGCCAAATGTACATGAAAATCTACATGAAAATCTACATTTCTAACCAGGCTTACTTTCCATATGTATCTCTCTATTGTTCGCTTCCAAGTATCTTGATTGTGTACTTTCATTTCAGGCTAGCACCATCGTGGTTCGACTGAAGCTACACGATTACTTCACTCTTGAGGAGGTTAGTCTTACTTACATTTATTTTTTTATTTACAAATGCCCTCAGGGCCCCAAGAAGCATTACGGAGGGAAGTGGTTGGTTAATCTGACGCAGAACTTGGCGTTATCGGTGATGGTGACGATGGGCCGGGAAATCTCACACGAGTAGTGAAGTTTTGCCGAAATAGAACTGGGAGGGCCGAGAAGGGACTCTCTTAAAGGTGCAGAATAATAAACTTTATGAAGAAGGCGAAGCCAGGAAATTTTACGACGCGAGGAAAGAAAAGGGTTAGTTGTGATCTCATTGCAGTTACACTTGAAACACAAGAGTAATCGAAAATAACAAACCGAGCTGCACGACTTTGAACCGCTTCAATTGCATATTGATGAAGATATTCTAGTTTAGGATGAACGAGAGTAATATGAAAAAGTCGTTTTAGTTTAGAAGGGACGGATTTAAAGTTACCCTCTGGCCCCAATCGACTGTAACATACAGCCAATTGAAAATGACTATGCTACAAACATTACTGCAACCTCAACTTTTTTGTATTCTTGTGTAAGCTACGTGATCCTAGTAATCTCTATACATGTTGCCCAACTCCTAGGTGTCATATGGATAGTTTTGATGGCTTTTCTTCTGTCTTTTTCAAGATTGCCATTCCCCTGTTCCTGCTTGACAAGATCGGCCTTCTCGAGAACTACATGGCTGGGCTACCCGAGCTTCAAAAGGAAGTCATTGTGTACATGGACAGCCTGTATAATGATGCCAACCGCATTGACAACTTGATCTAGTGCGTTCTTCAAAAAGTACATACTAGCATACTCGTTCACCCCTGAGCTGACAGTTCGATGAAAGCTACGCGCTTGCCAGACCAATCGACTGCCTCCTTTTCATCACCTGAGCCCTGTCCTCTGCACATTGGCATTGCGGAGATTGGGATCCCGTGGTGAAAGGTACTAGACGTACCACTGGTCCAACGTGCATGTGGCTTCCACCACACTGTCAAGTTGGGGGTGCGCAAAGTACAGTGCAATCCACTTGTAACGATACCATATACAACAATGTACTGCTTAAAACGATCAGTTTCTAGAGTTTCAAGACTAGGAACGCTCAGTTTTTAGTCCAGACACAATGATAATTAGTTATGACGATTGAATTTTTAAGTCTTCTCGTTATCGTTATAAATGGATTGCAGTGTATAGTCCTGCGCCTCACCCTTGATGAGTTCCACTCAACGTTTCAAAATTTTCTTGTTCCCACAGTAACCTAAACTTGAAGATGGTCAGCCGAGACAAGTTTCATCCAAAGACCCTGGCCAAAGTGATATCTAGGCTTCTGAAACAGTACAACCTTCCCGTTGGTGAGCATTCATATTTTTTTCTAATGATATCATTTAACAGTTTTCAATTTTAAAAGTTAAATTTGTTATTTTCAGAGCTTTGTCCTAACGTTCAGTATAGTCGAAGTAAGAGTGCCATGAAGTACCTGATTCACAAAAAGTACAATGAGGTAAGTTTTCTTTTCTCAGTGCTGAACCTGGTTCATTCTTATTTCTTTGATTGCTTTGGGTGGTCCTCCGAGCTTCCATTTAAGGTGGTCCTAATTCAGTAGCAAATACTTGGCAGGACCATTTTCCGGAGCTTCCAGCTTTAGTCCTCAATTTTCTCAGTTCCTCATTGGGGTTGTAGCAAATTTTTTTTTCTTCAAAGGTATGAAGGGTTAAATGTTCTTCAGCACTTTGAAGTTTAGTGTATAAGCGATCTAATGGCTTTGATGACAAACATTCCAGAATGATTACTCTGAAGCAAGTTGGAGAGAAATGATTTGTGTAAGTAACGTCTTTACGATCATAGTGGTAGGTTGCAGCAGAAAGTTGTGAAATTTATCCTTGCAACATTGACAACTCTGAACTGTCAGAAAGTCCACATGAATGGTTGCCTTTCAGGCAGTTCGTGGCAAAAGAACCTGGTTTTGTGTCGCTGGGAACTGTGCTTGACAAGGAATGGCATATCATAGTGCTGTTAACTTGCTCAAAACAAAAAGCAAAAAAAATTGTTTGGCAAAAAAAAAAAAAATTGAAGGGATGAAGTAATTCGGTAATTAAGAGATGCAGCCTGGCTGTACTTACAGATCTTGTAGTATTTTGAGTACATTCTTGGTCTGCGGACGCATGACACTCCTGCCTGCCAGTTGCCGATATATGAGGATTTATTGTGAATGTATGAAGATTGCCTACCTTTGGGTCTAGGGTCAGGGTTACTTGGAGTTGGAGGGTGAACACGTGTTCTGTCGTAAGACTTTGGCGCGCTGTTGGAAATCCACACTGCAAGCCCAAGAACACATTCCACATTAAAGGAAATGAGAACTAGACAGAATGAAACCTGCGTGCCATTGCTCTATTTCAGTTGCTAGGCTGTATGACAAAACGGAATAAAGCCTTTGCTGGAATTTTTTTTATCGGGGGTGGTACAACCTCAGCAGTGCTGACCAGAAGGGTGGTTCAAGGGACTTGACCAGATTGCTTCTGGAACTTCAGGAGGCAGTTGGCCCCAATTGCAGTCTTCAGAAAGAGCTGATCAACGACCTGATGTGGATGAATGACTACGAGAATGCCCTGAGCTTTGCCCTCAAGCTTGGCCTGCCCGAGCACCACTGGCCTAACTACCTTAGAGACTACAAAGAGCGGTGTGGAGTGCGCAAGTGAGTTCACCCTTCCTTTTTTCATGTCAGACTTCCAGGGGCCTCTTAATTTCTCTGAAAAATAATCTTATCAATCGAAAATGACTGTATGTTAAGCCAATACAATTTTGAGCCCATGCTGGTATTGTCAAAGGTGCCAAAAATGAAATGAGCCATGACCTTATAGAATTAATTTTTTTTATTTTATTTCAAAAGCCCTCAGGGCCTGAGGCATTACAGAGAAGAGTGGGTGTTAGTGATGGGATTACTTGTAACTCTCTTAAATGAAGTGCCGTCGCCGGTGGTGACAATATTCTCCAGGAGGTCGTTCCAGCCGACAATGACGTCGGGAAGGGCAGAACAGAGGTAGGCCGTTGAGCTGCATTTATACTGGGCTATTTTGCAGGAGCGATCAAACCTCGCAGAAATGTAGATAGGTTGGAGGGTAATAAATTTTGTGCAGAAGACAAAGGCGGGAAATGTTACGATGAGTGAAAAGACAGAGAATATTAAGTTGAGCTTTCACGGCAGACACACTGGAGAAACCTGAGTGATTAGACGGGATGGAACGAATGGCTCGGTTCTGAACCGACTCAATTAGGCTTGCTAAAGCATTGAACTACTAGTAGAAGGTTTTAGCTAGGCACCTTCGCTTTTCTAGCACTTTGTGCTGTCACCTTGAGCTGTATCGCGGACGGTCGCCCGTCCTTTGTCCTGTTGTTATTTACAGCCCACGCAATAACTGAATTAGAAAACGGCAATAATTTTGTTTGCACGTATGCTCAGTTTTATTTCAAGATAAGCAGGTGGGGGAACGGCCATTAAAACATGCCGCAGTCATGCGACCTCATTATGTCCTGGCGGCTTCCGCTCGGCAGGTATGTTAGCCTTATGATAGGTGGCGTGACGGCATACGGAAGGCGATAGGCTCGGCTTTGTATGGAACTCTGCGAGAGAATGCACCGTGTCAACGATATTCTTTAATTTAAAGTCTAATTTACTAAATCCTGGTGAAATAAAAGTGCCACATGATTATGTCTCGACATTTTTTCTACCTTTGACGCATTTTCCAAGTATGACTGCAGTCATACTTGGAAAGTGCAGTTGCGTACCGCTGGCTTTAAATCACGTCGGACTTGCTTGCACGTAAACAGCGGAAACTTGTAAGTTAGGTCGTCGGAATACATCTGCAGGCGAAGTGGAATCAGCGACGTCGATGCATTCACGACACGTCTCGGCTGACTTCTCAGCTCGCCTTCGTTTTATTGCGCTGTGCGCCCCCTTGATTATTTTAACTTGTAATGTCAAACTACGGGCAAAACAGAACCCATATATTAAATATATTATTAATTTGCTTGATTAAACTTGCGTGGTTCATGCCCATTTTATAAAATAAATTGCCAGCCGGTCGCATTGCCTGCAAAATTAAAAAGAATATTTTGTTTTTCGTTTCTTTTTTGTGTGGCGCCATCAATGTGGAGTACCACAAACCTTCCTGAAGCAGGGACATAATCAGGTCGCCCAATCGGCTCTCGTTTCCTCATCTGCCTATCTTACACCCTGATATACCGTATTTACTCGCATAATGAACGCACCCCCCACAACGGGTACCAATATTTTGACTTCTTCCTTTCCTCGCGTAATGAATGCACCTTCAATTTTCTGCACCGCAAGTTTCGAGTTGCATCCAACTTAGCTAGCCACCAAGCCCACCTAGCCCATCTTCTTTTTGCTGCCAAGTGGTCAGGCTAAGTTAAGCCAAGCCGCTCTCGTAATGGCTGCAAGTCTGTAGTTGTGAAAGGGATCAACCGTGATACGGAGCGGCTCGCACACTTGACGAAGTTTGGGTCGAGGAATTTCCGGACATTCTTCACCTATCGGATGCATTGATGTCAACAAACACGCCGCTGTCTGTGGTCTGCTTTCGGACAGTGAAATCGTGAAAGTGGTTAGGCTTAAGAATGGTCGCGTTGCTCTTCGTGCTGAGTGAGCTTCGTAGGGCGCTTTTCCTTCGGCAAAAGGCATGCTGAAGGTGCCCTAAAAAGGTTAGCAATTTATAAAGCATGGTTACTGCTGGGACACCGCCGGGATCATGACCGGTGACAGCTGGGCACTTCTATGACATCATCAAGCGGAAATGGAAGGAACCCTTTTTTGAGCATGGTAAATGTCGGAGACGCGTTCCAGGCACCATGCCTAACACCATGCACGTCAAGCGACCATGTGACACGTGATTAATCATAATGCCAATACAAAAGCGCCACGAGAACCCACAATTTTTCACACATTGCAATTCTATAATGAGGATTTGGTCAATATATAGAACTACAACTGCCAATTTTTTATTCTCAATTATTCGTTTTGTGATACTAACAAAAGAGAAAGAAAAAAATTCCTGTGAACCGTTTTGAAGTGGTTATCGTTATGTTTTTTCCGGTTCAGTTCCAAGATGGCGGCGAAGATTAGAGTTCAGTTCAGTGCCGGTTCAGCTAAAAGTAGCGGTTCGGTTTGGTTTTGGTTCGACACTCTGGTTGTATCCGATACAGGTTTGTTGCTGCATCACTTTATTGAGGACAAACCAAGAGTGGGACCACACATGGTCGCGGCGCTGGGTGGGGGGCGTACAACAACCAGACGGAGTGTTTCTTATATATTGCGCTACACTCTCACGTGCCCCCAGATGCGGCTCTGGGCCACTATCTTATCACTGCTATCACACTGCCTCGCCATTGTTCCTAGACTGTTGGTATTTTTAATAAACTAGAACTCTTTTAGCGTAAGTAGATCTACTCCAGTCTCCAGGGAGTAAAGAAAGCAGATTATCCGATTGCCTAGAAGAGGCACATTCTGGGATGACCAGCAAAAGTCTTCACGTGCAACGAGCCAGGGGTAGCGTGCCTCAATCCTCTTTTGTTTAAGGTCATGTCATTTTTTGTAGCAGTGCCCGGCGCTGACGACACGCAGAGATGGCTAGAAACAAAGTGCCACTTCAGCACAGTCGATGCCAAGAGCTTGTGCTGGGAAATGCTCTTTCACACGCTCTCGAGCGTAAAAGAAAAAGAAGTGTCACATCCAATTTCTCCACCCTAACCAAGGCAGACATGCCATATTCAGTGTTGTGTTGGTAACATTTTGTAACATCTGTATATAGGCCATGCCATCAAAGTAAACATCAGTTTTCATTCTGCTTCTTCCTGGTTGCCCCTTGGGGGCCAGGGTACAATAGAGCCACTCTTTCACACACTCCCGAGCCTAAAAGAAAAAGAAGTGTCACCTCCGATGTCGCCACCCTAACTAAGGCAGACATGACATATTCAGTGCACATGTACTTACAAACAAATTAGCCATGCACTATTTGGGTTTCACGTTCCTCTGTAACGATTTGCATTGCCCAGTTTTTGTGCTGAGTCGCTGTGCCAATCCACCAGGGTGCAAGAGCTGATGAGATCATGGAACATCAATGAGGACCAGGACGACCCGAGCAAGTTCCTGTCTCTCAGGATCGACCTCTCGGACGTGCACATGGTGGACACACCGGACGGCTTTGCCCACTGCATCGAGGTGCTCAAGGTAAGGGGGAGGTGGGCGGCACCGCACTGACACTAAATTGCATAAGGCCAATTCACACCTTGGCGCTCGAGTGGGACCGAGCGCATCACACTTAAGGGACGTTTGAATACCCCAGAGCCCGACACGACATCATGCATAGCGATGCCGAAAAAAGAACTCAATATCAGACTGCTTTACACACTGACGCTGCTCTCATTGTCCGCTTGGCACTCTGTCGGCTATGTTAGGTTGAGGCTACATCTGTTCCATGCCCGTGGTCTGCTTAGTCTGCCCGCCGTCACAGGTGTCTTTTGTTACGACTGGCGCACCCGAAGAAGTATCGACGCGCATGCTCAGTCGGAGCACGGCGGAATGCAATGAATGCATGCTGGAAGCGAAACTTCTATAGCATTCTCAACCTAATACCGTTGTTGGCATTCGTGTGTGCGGTACCGGATATGCTTGCCTTCCAAAGCCGCGCTGTGACGACGCTACCGGCAGAGTGCCTTGATTGTCCGCCGTTCACCGACCTCCTGCTGGTCAGGCAAGTGTTGGGCTCCGAATCTCACGCGTTCGGCACCGATTCGGTGGAGGCCGCCGTGTAAATATGGGGCAAAGAAGCGCACTGCTGTGGCAATGTGGTTCTTTGCCCAATATTTACACGGTAGTGCTCATTAATTGAGTTTCTTATTGGCCCAGAGGGAAATTTCGTAACCACGCCTACCTCCTTTACACTTTTCTCAGTATATGGAGAATACGGATGCCACCTCCTGCCCACTATGACCCCCTTGGTTGCGCGTGCTTATGACGACAAAGCACACTGTCACCTGGCGGGTGGCGCTGGAAACCTTCCGATCTGCGCGTAACTAGACTGAAGGTTTTGCAGTATTTGTAAGATCAAGTCTACACACTATCTATGAGAAATGCTCGCACGTCACAAATGACAGAATTATTTCAGGCCCGCAGTAAAAGAGTGGTGCTTAAAAATTATGAAAACATATGCAGTTCAGAAGTGTTCCAGAGCTACTCAATAGGTGGTGTCATTGCACTCCCTCTATGTAGGCGACGAAGCACTTGGTCTCACTGCAACGCAAATATGTGAACCAATCTTTAATGGGCTGGCCTTGAGATATTTATTTTGTTATAAGGGCACTTTTGTAGTTGCCCTATGCGTCCATTCTTAAAGAGCAACAATATTTAGCCTGTCTGCATAGATCTGCACAACATTGTTGTCGACGGACGACAGGGGCAGCGAAAAGGTTCATTAAGGCAAACCTGTGCCTATAAAGAAAAATGGTTGATATCGACTGTGTCGGTACGACAGATCGAATCCAGCTCGGGACAGCCTGGACATAGACACCTACACTTCCTTTTATGCACTCTCCACATTCAAGACCCAGGCTTACAAATGCCGCAACTACCTCAATCACTTTGGAACATACCAGAACAGCTGACAAAGAGATAAATAGCCTCCTCTATGAGGGATTGAATCCTGGCCCCCTGCACGAAAAGTGAGCGCACCAGCTATTTGGCTAGGCTAATGGCTATATTATCTTTAGTAGAGCTGCATCTTTGTTGAGTAACTTCAAATTAAAATCTACTATATATCTTATTGTTTGGGGTTGCGAGACATAGGCCCATCTTTCTCCGAGCTCTTCGATTTTACTCTTTGCACATCTCGATACATTTCGCATTTCCTTTCTCGCACCAGGATTACGACGTCGTCGGGGTCGACGCCGAGTGGAAGCCGACAATGGGCCTTGCCCCTTCCAGGTGGGTTGATGTCTTGCATTGCTAGGGACCAACAACTCTGCTGCCTAAAGTTGGACGTCAAATAAACAATGTGGTTTTATGTCATCTCTTAGAACCATTCTCAAAGATGGTGGTAGAATCGTGCAAAGAAATCTGCTAGGCTAGTCACTGCATGATTAAGTGACTGGGTGATTGCCGCCCCTCCCTCCCCCCTCTTGCATTTCTATGCCCTGTTTCACTTCTGACTGCAGTCAATGCTACGGTCTGGTGGAGCTAGTGAAGCAGTGCCAAATGTGCATTGTCACGGCCTTCATTGTTTTTGTGCGTTTGCGATCGCCAGCTAAACCAACAATCCACAAAAAGAAGTGCAGGGTCACGGCATATTCACTGTGCTCAATTGATTTAGTTGGCGGTAGCAAACGCACAAAGACGGTGAGTGCTGTGGTGATGCATTTTTGACTCTGCGCAATTGTCTTAACAAGGTCATAGCGTCGGCTGCAATCGAACTTTAAAACACTACAATGAAAAGAAAAAAAAGGTTTTTTTAAAGCTTAGTATACACTTTTTTTTAATTTCTCAAGAACAAAAATATTTTTTTGCTGTATTTACGTTGTAGACGCAATTTAGGTGGAGGTGGTGGCCTGCTCTTAAGCCCAGCCCACAGATGAGTGGCCCCGCCCATTACTATTCAATTAACTCGGCCGCTCAGCCAGATACGCTTGCGAGCCTAGTGTCCCCCCGTCGCGATGTCCGGTGGGCCTAGTCATGTGTCCGACACCTCCTACCAGTCGTGCGAGCAACCACGCGGCAGTCTTCGGCATTACCTGCTATTCCACCACCGTCTATCGTCGTCTTCAATGTTTGTAAGTTGGTGTTATGAAAGCGACTCATCGGCGTTTGCGAGCAAGGTGGGTGAGCGTCATGATGCACAATTAAAACGCTACCTGAAAACATTCGCTTTGGCAGACCAGGTGCACTGCCAAACTTGAGTCACTTGCCTTTTGAAGAGAAATGACGGGAGCATACCTGGACAAACTTGATGCGAGCCGAACGCCCGATTGCCTCCAGCCAAATGGCTCGCAAGTTCTTACCTGTGTAGGTGTCTTCTTGATATTGAAACCATGGTCACAGTCACGACGGTTGCACAAGTCACAGAGCAGCGGAGCCGCTTTTACGGGAACCAACATCTTTATTCAGCATCACCAAGTGCAAATGTACAAATCAAGCCAGATCGAGCAAAGTGCTTGACGTGGGACCCTATGCACTGGGCCAGTCCTGCTACGAAAACAAGCACTCCCACAGCAGTTCCTAACGCGCATACTTGCAACGCTTGTTTGCTGAAAACTAGGTTGGTTGAGGAGATCTTCCTCTAAACGCCTCGGCGAACGCGGAACGACTCGCACTCGTCAAAATAAACGAGCTCAAGGAGCGTAGCTCTTTGAGCAATCGCTGGAAACCATGTTTTGTTATCGTTTGAAACCAAAGCGGAGAAGGCAGTGTCGTGACATTTTTGAAAACAATAATGACTATTTAGATTATTTGTTTCCGAAATATAAAGAAGTATTGTCGATAAAGGTACTGTTATGGCATGGAGATACAATTTTACAACAATTTCACACGTCAACCATCTCCAACCAATGAGAGCCAAAAGAAGGTGCTTAGCTCTAGCTAAGCACCAGGTGGGGCCTAGAGCAGGGCTACCTATTCCCCCCCCTTTCCCTTTAATTGCGTCTAATGTAAACATTGCTAATTTTTTTTCCTTGAAAATTTGACAAAAAGAGTGTCCATTAAGACTCTTTAAAAAAAACCTTTTTTTTTATTTTTGTGTCTGTTTCTTACATGAAATGGAGTAGAGTAAATAATATGGGGGAAGAGGCCGGAAATCTCATTCCCATCTCCCGAACACGTCCGATGCCCTCGATTAAGATGCACCTGTTGCTTGAGCAAGCATGCTGGATTGAAACTGAACTTACTGATATCACCAAGGTGGAAAGGTGTGCTGAAAGCAATGTGATATTTGCCTCTTCTTTCTATAGTTTCAAGTTAGTGAGGTCTTCATGGCAGAGGGAATACAGAAATGTGTGATATTTACCATTCCTTTCTATAGGTTGTCTCTTGTACAGTTAGCGGTTTGGGATGGCGTCTATGTTTTGGACATCCTGAAGCTCTCCGAGGTACTTGGAGAATCTCACTGGCGACAGCTCTACACAGAAATTCTTTCATCTGACGACATACTCAAACTCGGTGAGCTTCCTTCTTTAGCTGCGCGGGAGTTGATTATTGGTCAAGTTTTTAACTGTTCTGTAATGTTCTTGCAGGCTATGGGATTGTAGAGGACCTGAAGCTGCTCTCTGAAGTGGCGAAATGTCCGAGTGCAAAGGCTCGCAACTTCATTGACCTGTGTAGCTTCAGCGAAAAGGTGAGCCAGCAAATGGAACAATTCCTATCAGAGACTGCAGACTTAAAAGCATGCAGCTAAATTTAAAAGTGTGCTTAAAAGCAAATTTTACTTGTCTGTCATGAAAAGCAGTTTATTTTGTGTCGGAAGTCTTGAATTCTAGTGGGCTTGGTTTGTTCATTTCTTTAACTACTGCTGATATCAACATTACAGATCTCATAGAAGGCAGTTTATTTTATGTTGTAAAACTCAATCTCTAAGGGCTTGATTTGTTTGTCCTTACTTTCATTAGCTTCTGCTAATATATCAACATTACAGACAAATCGAGAAGTGAGGTACATGATGTTTCAACAAAATCTAGACTAATTTAAGATGTGCCTAATAAAATTGGATTTTTTTTTTTTTTTTTGTAATGAAATTTGAGGTGTTAGTTATGAGCTTTGAATTTGAGCTTGTTGTTTATTTGAAACTTTTTGGGTGGCTTGAGGTTTAGTTGCAATTCTGCATTTCATCTTTAGGTGGCAGTTGCAGCTGAGATTATGTCAGATGTTGTTTAGAGAAGGTTTTCAGATTATTGCCTCTTTTGCTGGAAATTCATATAGGCACATTATTATTAGTTAATCCCATTTTGTTGTTGTTGGTGCCTTTTTTTTACCAACAAGAAATTGCTTAGTTTATACTTGTTCAAGTGTCATTCTCAGCCTGTGCGTTCTCTTCGGGCCTGTGGGCATTAGTATAGTGTCTCGACCACATGAAACTTTCTGTACAATTTTTGTCTTGCGCATCCTATAGCAAGTTTGAGATTGAAGTTTTAACACAGAGTCTGTTCATGGGTTGGATTTTATGTAAAAGACATCATTAGTTATAATAATTCTTACATTATCTTAATTGTGAACAATTAATCCCAAACAGCAAGATGTGTCACCAAGGGGCTCGGCGGGAATCGAACCCCAGACCGTGCAATCCGCAGTTTGACTTCTTTACTCGGTGCCACAAGGGGGAGATGAAAGAGATTGCAAGCAGCTGGACTAAGTAGGACTTGCCGACGGTCGACCGCGGTAGCACGCAACTGTCCGCGCCGAGTGATTCTCATTCCGGCATACTTAGTATGGTGGCGACTGTTGGCAGTGGGTAATGCTTAGTCCAGCAGACTTACTCCGCATGCGATCGTCAACGGCAGTTCACACTTAGTCCAGCGCTAATTAGCCTGCAAGTGATTGTCTGCAGCGATTCATACTTGATACAACATACCTAATCTGGAGGCGACCGTCAGCTCGCGCAGCTGGCTCTCAAATAACGAAGCATAGCTCTCCACGTGGACTTATGACATCACGGGGTGGATCGTAATGTACCAAGAGATAGCGCGGTGGGCATATAACGTCACAGCTTAAACAGCATTCAATAGATTGTCTGTAGGGTCCAATTAACCTGTTCCCTCCGGGATTACTTCTGTTGCCACAAGGGGTTCCTGGCAATCCAAAAGTACAAAGAATTCAAGGCCCTACAAGCACCCACCAAAGCGGACCACATAGAGAACTTCACGTTAAAGAATGCTCATGACACATCCAGCTTCTGAAATATACTTGTCTTGATCAGTACTTCATGAACACTAGTGTGCGTCTTATGTGCAGCACATTTGAAACAACCTGAAGCTTCCTGTAACCAAGCATACCCAATCATAACGCGTGCATTATGCATGCATGACGCATTCTGAGATCTCCGGGTTTATCAGGAAGATTGAGGCAAGTTTTAGAAGAATTATTCAGGACTGTAAACCTTTGACTGTTTGTACCCAGCTGCGGCAGAAGCACCCCAGCCTGATGAAGCCTGTAATTCCCAAGGACCGAGAGCACAAGGGGCTCTCGGAGCTGACACGAACACTGCTGGGCCTGCCCCTGAACAAAGACGAGCAGTGCTCCGACTGGGAGAACAGGCCCCTGAGGTCGTCCCAGATGAGATATGCCGGTGAGTGGTGCCGTCCTCATGGCTTGGCACTAGGAGACAACAGCCCATGAGAGTTTGTGTAGTTGCTGTACCCTGTTTCACTTCAAAGGCCAATGAGCAGCCAAAAAGCAAGAAACTGTCCTTTCATTCCGTCTTTCCAATTAAGAAAGAAGGAACGCCACCTCCTCTTTGTGGAGACTAGCTCAGAGACTCGCTCCTGTGAGGAGGGGAGAGAAGAGTGTGAGAGGTAATGGAGAGAGGAAAACGGAACCAATGTTCTGCCTGGCAGAAGACAATTCTGTAGGTGAACCTTTATGTGCGGGCATAGTAGAAGCTACAAGAGCAAGCCGCATGCTTTCAGTGTTCCTCCTGCTAAGCATGCTTGTGCAGTGCAAGCATCATTTGCGATAACATGCTCGTGCTCATAGCTTCAGTATTGCTCGCGCATGAAGTGAAACAGACTATGAACCTGGGATCCTTTGGTGTTGGCTGTAAACGAAGCCAAATTCAGAAAGTGGTGTTCGGGACAATATTCTGCATGTATGAAAAGGCACTTCCAATTTTAAACTGAAACAATCTAAATCTATGTTACGTAAATTATGCAGGGTGGAAGACAATTGTTTTGAAGGGTTCCTTTGCTGAAGAAGGCAAATCGTTGTGCCTCTCAGGCTCTCAGGCTTGTCTGAACCTTTTCATGGGCAACTTTTTTGTAGGCCCCGTAGTGAATTTTTTTTTTTTTTTCTCTACCGTATGAAAGTTTTTTTAATAAGAGCTCTGTGCCAAATTCAAATTTTTTCTGGAAAGCACAAAAAAGATACCAGGTTGGGAAATATGCTTTTCATGGCTGAGCAGCTGCTCAAAATATAGTCAAACAATTAATTTTATTGTTGAAGAGAGAAACTGCAGGAGTTGAAGATCACTTTTCTGCAACTCACTGTGCTCTCTTCTTTCTCAGAGCCATCTAGAAACGAAAATATTTGTTTCTTTTAAGAACTGAAGCTCTGAAAGTTGTGTGGGAGAGAGTTGCTCTTGGGCCACGGCAACCATACTACCCACTTCGACAATTACCAAGAAAGCTGCTTGTAACACATGAGCTTTCAAAATATTCAGATTCATTCGATTGCTCAGAGCACCTGATTTGTAAGTTCGAAGGTTACATAGGTTGTAACGCTCTGATCATAAGCAGATACCAGAACCCAGCCTCACAAGTACAAAGGCCTGCGAACGCCTTGCGCGAGAATGTTTCGGAAAAGTACAGCTTTGTTGTTGCACCACCAAATGGCACCAGTGTATTTTTTTTTTTTTTTTTGCATTGCTATCACTAGATAGCAGAACAGTACAATAGTGGGAATTGGCTTTCCCTCGAGCTCAATACAGATGAGGCGTGGGTGGGAACTATATACCCCACCGCCCATGAAAGGGTTGAAAGGTTCTGAATGTGCCTCTCTCCCAGTTGGCCAACCAACAGTTTGCTGCACACTCTGACCATTATGTTTTTTATAGCTATATGCTCTAAACGACATAATTTTTGCGAATTGCCTACAATTCGCGAGAAATAGGTCTTGCGAATAATTCCAGTAAAATGTAAACACATTGAGATCTACATTGAGATCCCACCGAGTCGCGAAAATTGGGACTTGCGAATTATTACAGAACTTCAGCTTCGACCTAAATCACGACATATTGAGCCCGCGAAAAATAAGTCAATTACAGTAGTCATGTGTGCATCCATGACTTTATTGTAACTGCCATGGGTGAACTAGGGTAGTCTAAATAACTAGTAGGTTATGGGAAGCCGTTTGTACTCCAGTGTTAGGCGTAGGAGTGATATTCCTATATTGCCTCAAACAGCCTTTGAAGTTGACATAGGAAGTGTTTGCATGTCGTCATTGGTGCAAGCTGTGGGTAAGACAACTTAACATCTGCCATGAGCACCAATTTTAACGGCGCAAAAGGAATCTGGTGAGCGCTCGCTCTCAGCATGCTCTGCTCATTTGAATATCTCGGTCGAATGAAAGGGACATAGAATGCCTTAATTGCTATATCACATGTTTGTTTCGGCCCAATTTACAAATAATGGAGGCCTTTAGCAGCTGGCCTTCTTTGCATTGGAAGCTTAGAAGCAACAAGTTTCTCAGAAAACACTAGCTAATCAACCCTAGCTGTGTTGATAAGCTAGTTCTTTGTGGGCAATCATTAGCTATGCCAAACCAGTGCTGCCTGCTTCTAGTAGGGTGTCTAGCGACCGGGAAAACCGGGAATTGTCGGGGAAATTTTAATTACCGGGAAAACTCGGGGAATTGTCAGAGATGTTGTCAAAAAGCGAGCCCAGTCAGAAAAAATGAGCCGGAAACGCCATTGAGTGTCCTGAGCAAAGACTTGAGGACTTGGGGGGACAGAAAAATAGGCAATAAATTCTGCTTAGAGCGGAGCGTGGGCTCTGCTCACCCGATGTAGTGTGCTACTCGATGCAAAGGGAACAGCCGACAATACCAGTCCATTCCTTTGATTGGGTTGGATTGAGGGCGTGACACTAGGCTAGATCTAGTTAGAGCTACTAGATTTAGTAACTAATGGGAAAGCCGCAGACCCCAATCCAATCCAAGCCTTAAGCTGAAAGTATCTGAAAGTGTGCATCTGGTGGCCATGTCGCCATTCGGTTATTGACGTGTGTGGCTGAGCGTCGTGTTTTTATCGTGTTTCCGGAAGTGTCCTCTTCACTGACAATGTTGGCTGCAAGAAAGTTCTCGTTTAATCCGGACTGGACGAACCCAAATATTTAGAATATGCAAGTTGGATTAAACCGGTGCAAAATGATCCTCAAAGAGCTCAATGCTCAATGCCTTGTGTTGTAATGGTGTTATATATTTAACCGCCTCTACAGTGGTCGGGGAATTTCACCTGAAATGGTCAGGGAAAAACCTGGAAAAGTAGGGGTATTTCAAAATAATAATTTGCTAGACACCCTGTTCTAAGCACTGTTGTTCGATGTTTTCTCTTTCCCAACAGCTCTGGATGCTTTCTGCCTGCTGCAAGTGTACGAGGAGCTCTTCAAGAGGGCCGAAGGAGAGGACATGAACCTGAGGGAGCTGATTCAGGAAGTGAGGGACTCCGAGGCAGTGCGCAGGGACAAGCCCCGAAAGTACAAACCTCAGGTACACAGAAGAAGCAATGGCTACACGGCCAATTGCAGCCGCAAGTAGGGGGAGACGGACACACAGCTCTACGCATTCTCAATTTTCCTCTTCATTTACCCTCCATCTCGCAAAAAGGTGAAATTATTTTGGGGCCTCTGTTGAAGCCCTCTAAATTGTAGCAGGCACAGATAGAGCTAGATTTTGTAAGCAAAACCCAAGTCAGACTTTTCGTCTTAGGTGCATAATAAAGGACATCTGCCGTTTCACGATGCTTTTGAACATTTTATTTACGCAAAGTAAGTTGCACGTTAATGTTTGCTGGGTTGCCTACTGATCAAATTTTGCTTTAGTGTATGCTTTGTCCTCAGTTTCTTTTTACACAGTGTACCACTCATTGTAGTTTGTGTTGCGGTGCTGCACCAATCACGGTGCATGACATAATTTACCTGTGCAGTCCAGGCTGTGTGATGTTAGCTTTATTTTTAAATTGAATTTTGACGAGGATGAAATACCTTGCATAGTAGTACAACCAAACATGTGGACACAATGGGTAAAAGTGTTTTGTGAAGACATGCATGCAGTATAACCAATACTACTTTGGGAAAAAAAATGGTCATTGGACCTGAGTATTTACAACTTGATCATACATTTTTTTTGTTCTTTTTTAATATCATTTTATTGCTAGATCAGGTTGGTGAATGTTTGTTAAAGGCCGACGTACACTTCGCGCTTTCCACTTTTGCCCGCCTCCTCCTTTCCTATATCCTCTCCCCTTTTTACCCTTCCCCAACTTGGCTCCCTCGCATCTTTGGAGAGGGGAGCGCTAAGAGGATTATCTTCCCTGCAGAAAACCGAGGTTGTACGTTGGCCTTTAAAAGCAACTTTTTTGTCACTCCGTTTGTTTTTTTTCTTTATTTGTTTGGCGGGTTTTTTTCGCCCAGGGGCGTTCATTTGGTATGCCCACACGAAGCTGTACATGTAGTTTTCCAAGAATGAATTCCTCTCTTCCCATGTCATGAGGCAACTGAAATCACAATGCTGTTGTGGTTTGGTGGAATATTTCTCAAATTTTCAAGACTGCTATTTCAATAAAATGTTCAGTGACATTAGCCCTTACTAAATTGCAACCACCTAGTCTAAGTAAAATTACAATTCTGACCAGTGACACTTTCATTTGAGCTCATTACTTTTTGCAAGCTAATATAGTTGATTTTCTTTGACACATGATGACATTATGCCACAGGTATTTTGTGCAGATGTCTTTGGAAGAATATAACTTATTTGTTCTAGAAAGCAAAAATTCTATTATTCTTGTGAAATTGGCTGCCCCAATTGACTTATTCCTTACCTTGTAATTCTCACCTGAACCTATAATCAAAGATGGCTTCGAGATGGACTTCTTGGGAATATGCTGGGCACATTAATTTGGATAGGCTCCTCACATGTACCTGGCTCATGTCTGCATCATCGACATATGACACAAGCGTACATAATTGAATGCATGTCTTTCAGCGACAGAAATTTCTCTGAAGTTACTACAAGTCCAGTTGTAGATGAGCCATGTCCCATGTCTGTATATTCAGGGCTGTTTCTACCAGGCTGCCTTGCATGCTTATTTGGCCAATTTACAAATAAAAACTTCAGTATTTTCTAGGATCCTATTTTACCAGAATTGATTGTTCTCTCAGGTACATGGACCAAAGCACAATTCTTTATAAGAATTCATACTAAAAGCATATATGGTCGTACAGGTTCTGTTCATGTCACTGCTAGTTCATCTTTACTGTTCCGCTACCACAGCACACTTATCACTGCGCCTACGGCGAAGCTGTTGCACGTGTTGGCAAGTTAGCAGTCATTTGTAAAGCAAGTTGTCGACTGAAGCACTCTCTCACCTATGCACAGAAGCTGCTTTTGGTTATGTATAACTACAGTATAGCATTCATAAGTCTTACTTTGAAAATTGAACATTTTGTCTCGTGTTTCTCCCTCTGTTGTCTTTTTTACACTTGCTGTTTATGGTGCTTTAAAGGGACTCTGCAGTTGGTTTTGCTTTTTGTTATTTATGGCATTATGCATCTTTCGTGGTGCACACTGCTTAGGAGCCAAAGTGGATATTTCAGAAGTAAATATTATTTGTTTTTCAACAACAAGCCACCCTATCTTAGCATAGTGGCGCAGCTTGGCGACCAAGTCCGTGCAGCTACCTAGGGATCTAAAACACCAGAAACCTTATATGCAAGCAGAAAACGCAATCAGAAGAAGTAAAAAATGAAAATACAGCAAAAGTGGCACTTCGACATTTCAGTCTTTTATGCGAGTTTTCGCTTCCCGTTGACGTTACTAGTTTCTGTCTCCCTTTTCCTTCCCTCAGAAGTGCTCCGACATGAGAAAAGAAGCTCTGAAATGTCTACAGCTAATTGGCCAGTTGCTTTGGTCTCATCACTGGCAACTCCAACATTCATCAGTAGTGTCACAGAATTTAATTCTCCCTTTGCATTTGTTATTACAATACACTTACTTTGAATTCTGAAAAAAAAACATTTTTTTTTCTTGCATGTTATCACCTTTCTAGAGATCAGCTCCAGCCAGGGTGTCGAACCGGTCATTATTCCGGTTCGGTTCGGGTTCAGTAGCTTTGCATTTTGTTCCGGTTTGGTTCTGGTTCAGTGATGAATTGAAATACCGGTTTGGTTACTGGTTCCACCAAGCACAAACCGGCTTGAACCGGTTCTTTAAAAAAAAAAGTTTACAGCTCCAAGTTGTTAAAAAGAGTGTGTTCAACACGGCGTCATCTGCATTGAAAAAAAAATTCACATTTTTCGCCGACACTGTGCAAAAAAACAAAAGCGATAGCTGTAGCATGGTCACACAATGCAAGTGGAGTGGTGCCGTTGCGTAGCTGAGGACGGAGGTGCGGCGGGGTTAATTCTCATAGCCGTCGTGGACGCCACTGACGACCGCCACCGGTGCTTAATGATCTGGGAAGTAAGTGGGTAAGTGCGGTGGAAATTTCTAAAACCATCCAACATTATGCATAGCAACTGGATACTGTCTAAAATTGATTTCGTGCAACGCAATTAATGTTCGAAAACAAATGTTTAAAGCAGATGATAGGAAGACCCTCCCTTCATCGCATCATTACCGGCAGCATGCCGGAGCTCCCCTCTCTTCTCTCTCCGCGCTGCGCGACTGACTTCCCTCTCCTCGTGCCAAGAGGGGAGAGAAGAGTTTTTTCATAGTGGCGATGACAGCCGACAAGCTCAAAATCTCTGCAAAGTGTCGCCCGTAAAGCTATCGCTTTAAAAGAGGCCATCAAAAGCCGTGTCGCGGAAACAAGGACAGGAAAATAAATATATGCCTAATTTTGTTTTGTGATCTTGACTTTTTAATGCAAAGCACTGTTCTATGCAAATTACCTCAGAGACAGAACCAAAGTGCAGTACTCATATCGTGAGAAATCAATCAGCCGGCACGCACAGTGACACCGTGACGGTAGCACACACCATACTCGCAAACTACCCAGCCTGCACTCCCGAACGCCTTGCTGGAGCAATCATGGCAAAGAGATACAGACATTGAAGGGCGATCTAAAGATGATTAAGGGGGGACACTACCCAAAAAAGTGAATTTTTGAACCACTTATCTGATTTAAATGACATTTACAGGGCTCGTTTCTGTTAACGTTCAGAATATTTCTGCCAAATCTTGTTAACATGGGTGAAGTACAAAAAAATTGCAAATGTCTAAAGATGAAAGTGGGCGTGTCTGCGTAGGAAAACTATTGTTTCGAAAATACTTGTGAGTTTGTCGTTTTCATGTGTTATATTCCTTTAGGACAGTCCAGAGCAGACAGCTATGGAGCCATATTTCTATATTATACCATCTTTCACGACAAAGCCAGATAAACTCAAATACTGTTGTTTAGATTTCCATTCTTTGTCCAAACTTTTCATTCTTGAGCATGAAAAATGACAAAAATAAAAAATACAAGCTCATAGCTATCTTCCCCTTTAAATTTCACTCTAGAAGAACTCATAAAAATTAATCCAAGTTGCGTAATAACAAAAGGATAGTTTTCCTAAAGTGAAATTTATGCCAAAAAGTGGAACGGAGAAAAATGTGTTTAAAGTGTTCCAACCCTTGCCTTTTCTTTAGCATCGGAGGACCGAATATAATTTATAAAAAATTAACTATGCAGTGTAAACTAATGAAACTTTCTGGGAATACTCTCTAGGTGGTGGTGGATGTAAATATGACATTTTTTTTAAATCAACTTTTTTTGCCGAAATTGTTTTTTCTGGGTAGTGTCCCGCCTTAAAACAAAAGAGAGATAAACGAAAACAGGCAACATGCTGCTTTGTAAAAACGTACAAAACAATTTTTTTTTTCAGTCAGTGTCCAGGTTTTTGGGTTGCTCTGGGTGATTGGTGTCCCGGCGACCAGCGTCCCAGTGTCAGTCACGGCTTTGCCTTTTGGCACCTTCAGATCTTGCCACCGCAGAACAAACACTCCCGTTGACAGCCGTCAGCTTCTTGCTTTTTTTTTTATGTTTATGTTTGCTTTCTTTTTTTCTTGAGGAATATTGCTTAGCCGCAAGAAAAGAAAATTACACACATGACACAAACACGCAAAGAATAGCTCTTTAGCCTTTTGGCATAGTCAGATATACTCCGTTTTACCTTACGATGATGTTTCACAACAGACGCTACAAGCTCTACCTGCACCAATCCATAACCCGTAGCTTGTCACGTGACTTTGCACTCCCTGCGTCACTCCGCCCAACCAAAAGGGGACGTGGCATCCTTTGAGCAATGGATTGGCTGCGGTGGTTCATGGTAAGGTGAAACAAACCATGGAAGCATAATGCGACTGCTCTGACGCCAAGTCGTGCTGCACGTAGACGTAAAATGATTTTGCTTGTTTCATTATTGAGATGTCTCCATGTCACCGCCATTTGTTTAGTCAAAAGTGCACCGCCGACACCATCGTCAGGAATATTTACTTGACTTCGCGCC